CCGACTCTCACCCCTCCAACCAAATGCCAGGGACCAGGCTGGGGTACCTCTGAGCATTTCAACTCCCCAGACTGATGGAGCTGAAGGAGTGAGGGGGGGGAGGGGGAAGGGTGGGGAGAGGGGGAGGGAGAGAAGGAGGGGGAAAGGCTTGAGGCTCCCAGGCAAGCTCCAAGGAGGACATTTCCTCATAACGTGCAGAATTTTCCAGACACAAAAGCCTTTGGCAAAAGTGTGAGTTTTCCTTAATGGAAAAGGTATTCCCGGCAGAAGTGGAAGGGGCGAATGAGAAGGGAATTAATATTTTGTTGTTCCCATGAGCCAGATGCTTTCCTTATACACTCAACAACAGTCTAGTGAGGTAGGTTTGGGTATACAGATGTGGAAAGTGAGGCTCAAGGAGGTGCAGGGCCCTGTCCAAATTCACATAGCTAGCCAGTGTTGGAAAAAGATTAGAACTTAGACCTTTGACTCTAAAGTTAGTGCTCTAGTCACCCAACCTCCTGTGAGTAAAAGGACTCCCAGACCGCAGGCAGCACTCCAGCTCCTGGAAGTCTAGCCATGCCGGCTGGCCTTCCATCCTTTCCCCCAAATACTGACCTTGCTCCCACCTCAGAGTCTTTGCATTTGCTCTTCCCGTTTCCTGGAGTGTCTCAGTCACATCTTGGCACAGCTGGCTCCTTTATTACCTCCTGGGTGACCCTGTTCCTGGCATTTACCGTCCATGATATCACCTTGCTTTCTTTATATTGTTTATCACTCTATAAAGTTCTTTTTCACCTTTTGTTTATGGGTGTTTAAGGGTGTACTGAGTGTCTTTCTTTATACCAGAGCGTCAGCTCTGTTTAAGGGGAGAGGGGCTGTGTCAGCCTTGTTCTCAATCTTTATCCTCAAACCTCACACAGGGCACATTGGACACATCGTAGGCACTCAATGAAACTTGAATGAGTGAGTGAACCGCACGTGGTGAGGTGGAGCTCCATGTCCCTGTGCAGGAAAGATAGAGGAAATTCTCCGATGAGACTGAGGAAATTCTCCAATGAGAGGGGTGACGGTTTGCCCATCCTACCAACCTCCCCACCCCTGGATTCTGGGATGCTGAGAACAGGCACTGGGGGCAGCCAGAGCCTCCATTGGGTCTCTTTTTTCACGGGCGAGGAATTGCTGTTGAGGATCATGACGTGTGTGAAGGTGAAGGCCAAAAGTATAGGGCCCTAGAACGTGGGGAGTAAAGCCCAAGTTAGGAGGGTTTGAGTCAGAGCAGGGACAACCAGGTTTGACTGGGGATGGGGTCAGAACCATGCCCACTCCCCTGACTCCCTACCCTAGCGGGGGTTTGGACATCCACAAGTAGGATATAATTTCCCCTAAACCACAGGGGGAAATACAAACTATGGAGGGAGGCAAAAGCAAGTCCTCGACTCTTCGCGTCCTGGTCCTTGGCCTTGGTCTCACAAGTCGGGGCTGCGGCAGCGGAGTGGGAGGTGAGGAGCCAAATCTCTCCTTCCCTCCCCTCTCCCTTCCTCCCCCATCTCTCTCCGGCAGTTCTGGATTCGGCCACCAGTGGGCGCTGGCGGGCCGCGCTGGGTGGAAAGCGGCGCGGTGGGGCTGCGTGGGAGGGGGAGTTGGTGGGAGGCTGAGATCTGGAGGGGCGGCGGGCACGGGTGCGGAGTGCGTCAGGCTGTGCGTCTGCGCTGGTCCATGACGCGGACGCTGGGTGTTCGTCCCGCGGGTGCAGGGGCTTGTCAGAAGCGGGACACTGTGTTTGTGGGAGCTGGGGCTGGGGGTCCGGGCCGGTGCTCCACCTGGGAGGGCAGCTTCCAGTCCAGGTGTTGGTCAGAGGACCGTAATCCGCAGGAGGGGAGTGTGTGTGTGTGTGTGTGTGTTCTAAGGCTGGGGGGAAGTGGGGAGGTAGGACAGCCGAGATCCAAATTAGGAGGAGTCCGGCTTGGATTTGGGATGGAGACCCTGAGTGTGAGAAGGGCCTCTTCTAGCCCTAAATTCTGATTTTGGCTCTGCACTAAGTAGCTGTGTGGCACTAGCCAGCCTCTCCCCTCCTCTGCACCTCAGCTTCCTCATCAGGACAATGGTGTGTGGGTCATACCGCCCCCGCAGTCTTGCCATGGCTTATAGTTCTGGCTGTCTTCCACCAGCTCTCTCAGAAATGGGCACACTCACCAACACAGACAACAGCCACTTGCCCAGAAGACCTCTAGACCTCTCTCAGAGTCCCCCACCCCCAAACCCCTCCCTGGCTCTGCGCCCCTGAGTCACCAAGAAAGGGAAGAAGGAGCCACTGAGGAAAGGGGCAGGGAAGGGGCTGTCAGGAAGCCTCCTGGTGTGCCAGAATGAGACCCTGGGATCCCTGTCCTTTCTCTGTACTATGGGCCCCCTCCCAGCCTCCTTTCTCCACCAGGCTGGTCCAGCTCCAGCCTCCCACCCTCCCTCTACCAAACCCCCTTCCAGCCCCCTCCTACCCCCAGCAGCTGGTCCTGTTTGTTTTCCCAGATCAGTTGGCTCTGAGCTTCCTGAAGGAAGGATGCACAGGTGGTTTTGTTTGCCAGCTCAGCGCCCTCACCCCTACCTGCTCCACATTCACAGCCTCGGCCCTTGGGCGTGGAGCGGGGAGTTAGGTAGAGGTAGACACACACAGCATCCCCAGATCCACAGCTCCAAGAGACCTCAAGATCCCCTAGGAGTCTCATCCCCTCAGAGAATGCCCCCTCTCTAGACCTCATCGAGTCCTTTGTCTCATATAGGGACCTCTGGTTTCACAGAGAAATCCTCAGGAACCGCCCAGTGATTCTACCAAAATGCCCACCCCATAGGGCACCCTAAGATCCCCCAGAGAAACCCTCAGACTCAGTCCTGTTCCTTTAGATCCCACTCAGACCCCTATCCCATATGGAGGACATGCGGATCCCCAGGTCTCCACGTCAGGCAAGGGACCTGAGAATCCCCAGAGAAATGACCTCTCCCTTAGATGGAGCCCCAGCCCACGAACAGCCCACCTTCTCAGTACTGCTGGGCAGCTGAGAGGTGCGCAGTGGCCAGTGTCCTCTCCTCAAGTTGGCCTGCTCCCACCCTTCACCCCTCATTTCACTGGGAAATCAGCCAGGGCTCTGGTGGCTGAAGATGCAAATTCTGTGAATGGCACCCTCCCCCACCCTGGTACCATCACCAGCCCTCCTTTGCAGCCCTGCTCCTCCACTCCCCACCCCCACTCCAGGTCTGGAGCCTGGAACAGGCAGAGGAGCACCTTCCCTGGGGCTGTGAGGGCTGGTCTCCTGGGAGACAGAGATAAGGCGGGTGAGAGACCAGCTCAGCTCAGGCAGGGTCTGACAGCTGGGCCCGAAAGAGGTGGCTCCTGAGGGGGTGGGAGCGCCACCTGCACAGACCCATTGTCCCATCCCACTATAAGCAGAGCCCCTCTTCTCTGTCCGGAGTGGGGCTGGAGGACTGGCCACCATCCAGGGGCATGGGAGGCAGCTTTCACCCCCACCGACTCACCCAGACAGGGGCTGGCACAGGGCAGCAGGGAGAGGGCACACACATACACACGTTCACACAGCACAGGCACCAGAATGGTCCTGCATGCATCCCCATTGAACCGTCTCCCTCTAGGATTCCATAGACACCTCAGCATCACACTCATTTACGGGCAGCCATCTGCTCACTCATTCCTCAAACATTTAATAAGATGCACTATGTGCCAGGCACGGTGCTGGGTGTTGGTGTCACACACGAGTATGCCCTCATGCATTTCACGGGCACACATCCCGCTCCATGGTCACCTAGGGAGGATCGCCTCAGCCACCCACCCATGAGCATACAGACAGCAAAGGGTAGAGAGTGTGGGCTCTGGAGTCACAGTGCCGCCTGGGTTCAAATCAAAGCTCCACTGTTTATGAGTTGGATGAACTTGCACTCTACTTCTCAGTTTTTCCCTCTGTAAAATGGGAATGATAGTTTTAAAAACTGTCATGAAGATTTAAATGCATGTGAAACTGGCCTGCAGTAGGCACCCAAAACATTTTGGCTATTACTATAGTTGTGGTTGTGCTTATAACTGGCTTTGCCCAGTGGTTCTCTCCACTCCTCTGGGGCTGGGTTGGGTCAGGGGAGGAGTCAGGCCACTGGCACAGCTTTGGGGTCTGCATCCCCCTCCCCACTTGCCCTCTGGAAGCCAGCCTAGCACCCAGGATGGGGAACCTTCCTGCTTCACCCCATTTGAGCCCTTCTGCCAATGATCTCAGTTTGGGAGGGTTGGGAAGGTCAGGGGTGGGGGTGAGGTATCCCAATTTCCTTTATTCTCCTGGAAAGGACCCTTGGGAGTGGAACCCAGGGCCTAACTTCTGGTCCTGGTGATGCTCCTGGCTTCATATGTGGCCTCGGGCAGGTCACTTCCCCTCTTTGGGCCTCGGTTATGTACCCATAAACTAAGCTAACTGCTGATCCTGGGGGAGCCTCCCAGTCCCGACTCCTGTGATCCTGTGATGCCTCAGGAAGGCTCCCTCCCCTCCCCACCCAGCCTCTGCCTGCCTGCTCCCCCACACACACCTGGCCGAGCCAGAGTGAAGGGGCGAGTTGCCACTGTCGCCATGGGGACTAATCTCCAAGAAGGTCAGTGAGGCCCTGGTTCTGCCCTGGCCGGATGGGGATTAGCACCTGGGTATGAGCTCCCCCCAGGGCCTCCACTTCTGAGCCCCCCCACTCACATAGACCCTGAGTGGCCTCCACATGCAGAAGTTCCAAGGCTGGGCTAGAATTAGTGGGGCAGGGCAGCTGGCACACCTGTCCGTCTGTCCAGCTGTGGCCAAGAAAGAAAGGGAGAGATGGAGTCAGTTGCATGCCCCTCATTGCTCGCAGCCCCGTGTCCACCTGGGGCCTGAGCTGTGCCCCTCTTCACCTCTACCCTTTAAAGGGGAGAGATGGGTCTCCCAAGATAGGGCTATGTCCCCCTCCTCCAGCCCTGGCTGTCCCATTTACAGCCCACCCAGAAGCCACCTCTTTCTCCTCCGTTGGGGGTAATTTCCCCATCCCACTGTGGGGTGGGGTGGGGTGGAGGCTGTTTTCACCAGGCTTCCACCTCCCTCCACACACACTGTGCTTTCCACCTCAGTTACCCTGGCATCTTGTCTCTGCCTGTCTCTGGTGTCTCGCTCTTGCTTTCACTGTCTTAGGGGAAGGGGTCTGCAGCCTCTCCGGGCCCTGAAATTCCCTGTGGCTCTCACACCCCTCTGGGCTGCCCCCTCTGTCCTTGTCCTTGTGTTCTCCACCCTCATTCTCATCTTTCTCCTCTCTCCATTTCTCCTTGGCTGCTTCCCGGGCCCACCACTGCCCTCACTCCAACTGCTCAGTCCCTTTTTCTGCTTCCTCTACTACCTGTCCCTCCCCCGCCCCGGGTGCTGACAGGGATGACAGGAAGCAGGCTCAGCGGGAAGGGGAGGGAGGAGGGGGCCACCTCGAACACCAGCTGCTGGGCACCCCCCCTCCAAGCCCCACACCTGCAGGCCTGCCTGGCGCCTGGAGACTCCGCCCCTGGCCGGGCAGGGGAGGAGGGACCCGGAGGAGAGGCCCAAACCCTGGCCACAGTCAGGAAATGTGGGGCCTTGGGGATGCGGGTGTGGAGGTCTGGGGAACTTAGGCCCTGGGGTGAAGGGGCAGTGGCTCTCCGTCCTAGGGGCAGACCCCAGCCCAGCAATGGCCTCATTCCTCTCTCCCTCCCCCCACCAAGGGCTGCTGGGTGCATGTGCTTGTGAGGGGTCCTTCCAGGGAGGCATCTTCCTTGTGCAGCCCCAAGATCTGGAATCCCAGCCAGAGAGGGGGAGCCCTAGCCCCCTTCACTGACGGTGGAAGGGAGAGGAAGCCCTCAAAGACACAGGGGAGACAGGCCAGCGCCAGGCCAGGCCCCTGACAGGCAAGTCATTCAGTGCCAGGCAAGGAGGACAGGGCTGGGCCACGACGGAAGCCTGGTCAGGGAGGCCAGGATGGGGGCTGCACACACCCCAGCCCCGGGACCCATGGATCTCCCCTCTTCCCAGGGCTGCTGCGTGCAGATCCCACCTGCAGTCCGCCCTCTCCCCGGACCTGCCTGGGATCTGTCAGAGCCATCTCATCCCTTCCCCCTCCCTCTCTCTGCACCAAGGGCTCAGTAGACCCCGTGGGGCCTGGGGTAGGTGGGTGAGGGGTGGCAGTGGGGGGGGGGGGTGTGGAAGGGACAAAACAGCACCTCTAGGAACATCCACATTGGAGCCAGAGGTGGCCAGGGACTCCTAACCCTCATTCCCATCACCCTGGGGGCTGCCCCTGCCTGGGTGTGTGTGTGTGGGGGGGGGGGGGCGGGGTACAGCCCCTCCCCATGACACTTCTTCACCCTAAGGGGAAACTGGAGCTCTTACTGCTGTCCAAGGAGACTTCCTTCCACCCCAGCCTACAACTGGCTCCTCCCTCTGGGGCTTGCTCAGCATCACCATCAATTTTGGGAGGAGGAATGAAGGACACCTGGAGTCACAGGACAGCGACTCAGCTAGGGGCTCAGCTGACCCCAGCCCTTGTGGGGAGCCCTCAGTTCTGGGCTCTCCCAGCCAGAGGCCAGGGGTCTAGGGTAATCTCCCTCCCCCTCCCCCTTGTCAGATCCAAGTCACCGGAAAGCGGGATGATCTGTCCCAGGTTTGGGTTGTGGCTACTAACCCGTGGACTTCTGCCTGAGCTGAGGGCCACTCAGACTCACCCCCACCCCAGCTCACTGAAACAAGAGGCTTTGGGATTATGAGGTTCGGGAAAGGTGGTAAGCCGCTGTGCATGGGGACCCCAACAGGCAAGGGCTCCCCCAGACCCTGTGTTTGTCCTTTTCAGTCAGTCTGACAGTCTGTCTGTCTCAGACATGGGAAGACTGAAAGAGGGGCCAGGGAGATGGCAGGGAGTGGACCCTGTGGATGTCAGCACCAAAGAGACCTGGAGGAGAGGACTTGGTTCCAGCCCCCCCCCCCCCTTCATTTTCCACCCCTCACAGCTGTTGCTCCAACCCCTTGAGGGACTCCATCTTCCCGTCAGGTTTGGGGGGAGGGGCTCAAACGTATTGCTAGCAGCCCAGAAACCAAGATTTGGCAACTGAGGAGGCGCTCGAGGGTGGCCAGACCAACCCCCTTCATTGTGCAAGTAGGAAAACCCAGGAGTGGCCCGGCAATGACTTGCCCAAGGCCACAGAAGTCTCTGGGACAGAGCCGGACTGGAAGCTGGCTGTCCACCTCCAGAAGGGCCCCTGTTCCGGCCACAGCCCCCTATACCACCTAGTGGAGCCTGCTCGGCCGGCCCCTGTTACCCGGAATCGAGTCAGGCTGCCCCGGAGTTGCGGGCAGGACAAGGCAGGGCGGGCTGGGCCAGATGGGAACCGGATCTCCCCTGGGAGCGGCGCACAGCCTCTCCGACCCGTATGGCGGCGGCGGTGGCAGGTGCCTGCGTGGCGATCGGGCGGGCCCCCGGGCGGGTGCTGAGAGGCCGCCCCTGCCTCACGCGAGCCGAACGAACAAAACGCTCAGGTCCGGTTTGTGCGAGGGGCTCGTCGCGGGGCGGGAGCGGAGGGCCCGGGGACTGGCTGCGGCCCTCGGCGATCTCTGGGTCCTGGTCTTCCGAGAGCGCAGTGCCGCACAGCGCTCCGCTAGCCGCCGCCCTCACCTGCGCGCATCTGCGGCTGACACGTCGGCGGCCTCGGCGGCCACCACAGGTGCGAGCCTGGTCCGCCCCTCCCCTCCTGGCCACCTTCCACCCGGCCTGGCCCTGCTTGGCTTCGTCCCCAGCCCCCGCCCCGGAGCTTGTGCCGGAGCCTGGGCTCAGCGCGCTCTTATACGGCCTGTTCAGTCCCCGCCCCTAGACACGCATACACACACACACACACTCACACCTGTCCGGGCGCCCGTTTGCTCGGGGCAAATATTGACTCAGAGGAGGCGGAGCGCCCCCCACCCTCTCCCTGCCTGCGCCCGGGCTCTGGGGCCGGAGCTCCTCGCAGGCCTTGGCAGCAGGGGTGGAGGGAGGGTGGAGGGGACCTGGGCCCTCTGGAACAACACCAGATGTCATTTTTCCACCCACCTGCCTCTGAGGGGGAGGAGCCGAGGAGCAGAGGACAGAGGCTCCCGGGCGGAGGTTAGGGGGAGCAGGGAGGTGAGTATCCTAGGGAGGGCGGGACATCCCTGGTCTGGGGATTCAGATTCACGATGAGAGTCGCTTAGTAGGGTCTGTGGTCTGCTGTCTAACAGTGGCCTCTACCCGCGTCCCAGAGTCTAGATCTTGGCCCTCGGCGACGTGCCTCGGTTTCCCTTCCTTCCCAACTTCTTAGCAGAGTCCAGGGAACTCAGCAGATGCTGAAAGAAAAGGCTGGCGGTGGGGGCGCCGCGGCGCAGCAGAGAAAGGGGAGGGGTGGCCACCTGCTGCGCAGACCAGGCCTGGCACTGAGTTCCTGTCCACCAGGCTACGCTGGGGCAAAGGCCAGCCAGGCCCCGCTCGCAGCGCCCTCCACTGGCCAGACCGGATTCTGGCAGCGAGCAGCGAGACCTCCAGACCAGCTGCGGTGTGAAGCCAAGAGGCACAACCTCCCAGCCCCTAAAACTCCAATGAGTCGCTGCGGTCACCTCGGCCTCTTCCACCATCTGTCCCTCTGAGAGCGCGCGCGAGTTCCAACCGCGTTGGGGAAATAAAGTCAAGGCAGATATAACAAAAAGGCTAGATGATTTACTGGCGGGGAGGTGGAGAGAGGGCCGGGCGGAACCTAGGGCAGGAAGTCGGAGGGGCTGGGCCCTGAGGTCTGCAAATAGTCGGTAGGGGGCGGCGCCATCGGGTGGGGCGCCTCCGCTTGCTGCGGCCCCAGGGGCGCCACCGGCGGCGGGTCGGGAGTCGGAACCCTGGAAGACAGAAAGCCCCAGGTAGGGGTGGAGGCGAGGTTTTGGGCTGAGCCTGCATGCCCATGCCGCCCCTCGCGCCCCTCCCGTGTCGTCCGCGTGGCCCGGGCGCCCCCACCTGGGCAAGCTCAGCGGCGGCAGGGCGATGACGCGTGGCCGAGAGGTGAGCACCACCTCCCCGCGGCTCGCCTCCACCAGGATGTTCTGGATCATGTTCTCCAGCAGCGCCTCCTGCAGGTTGGCGAAAGCTGGGAGCCTGTGGCGGGCAGGGGCGCCGGTGTCAGCGCGGCCACCCAGCGCGCTAACCTTCTCCGCTGGCCTCCTCTGTGCTCTAGCCTGTGCCGCGTGCTCTGCGTGGATTCTCATTTAACTTCCCGCCCTCCCAACACTCTGAGGCATCCTTGTTCCAATTTTACAGACGCTCAAACTGTAGCTTAGAGACCCAGTTGCCAAACGTCAAGCCGCTGGTACAAGTGGTGGGATTCGAACCCAAGCAATCATTGTCCCCATCCCAGGGCCAGGTTTGGGGAAGGGCATCGATCCAGCGATGAGAGGGTGCAGAAGGTACTGGGTGGGGCCCAAGGAATCCCAACAGACAGAAAGCGACGACAGAACAGCCCCAAGGCAAGGTGGTACTTCTCTCCTGACTCTAGAAACCCATTTAAGAGACTTTGAAGACTATACCTATCCTCCTGGAAGTGGTGTGCTAGTAAATGTCAATAGCAGGGTCTTGAAGAAAAAATTAAAGCTCAGATCGCCATTCTGTAAATACTCCCATGGAAACCTTAAGCTACAAGTGCGATGTCAATGGGAAGAGACCAGCACACAGGCAGAGGCTGGCCCCAGCATACCAATGCCTCCCAGGATCCTTCTGCACGCAGCCCCCCTCCAAACCCTCACCTGGGTCTGGCTGCTCACCGGCTGATGGCCTCCTTCTCCTCCCGCTCTTGCTCCTCCTTCACTATGACCTTCAGCTGCTGCTGCCACTGCCATTTCAGGGATTCCTGGGACATGGGCTGCATCGTGGGCCCAACCCCTACCCAGCCCAACTTCTCTTCGTTCCCCTCCAGCTCCTCCTCCTCCAGCTCCTCCTTGCCCGTCTCCTCCTCTTCTTCCGTCTCCTCCTCTTCCTCCTCTTCCTCCTCCAGCGCCTCTTCTTCCTCTTCACCCTTCTTTTCTTCCTCCGCTTCCTTCTTCCCTGGCTTCAGCTTGTCCTCCTCCTGCTCCTTGCTCCTGCTGTCCTCAAAGCTACTGGAGGACGGAGACAGGACTGGCGCTAAGTGCAGGCTGCTGTTCTTGGCCATGGACCTGGCTGACTGCTCACTCCAGAACTGGCAGAAGTAAGGTATCTGCTCCACCAGGCTTTGGTCCACAGCCTCGTGGAAGATCTTGTCCTCCAGCAGGCCCCTGGGTGGCAGGGAGGAGGAGAAGATCCTTGATGAGAAGCCTGGCAGCTTCCTGTGGGGCTCTGGCTCTGGGGTACCCCAAAGGGTGATTCTTGCCTAGTGTGTCTACAAACAGGTGCTAGGTGCAGGATGGATTGGAGCTGTTGGTCAGTTGCCCCTCCCAACCCTTCTTTAGAGGAAGGCATCTCTGGGCCCCATGAAGTCTTAGAGGTGAACATTATATGGTGGAGGTGGAGCCAGGAGGTGAGAGTTGCACAGAGGAAAGGCAGGAGCCTTGGGGAGACAGTGAACTGGCTCCAGACCTCATCTCCCTGCCATGAACAGGGCAGAACTCCAGACCCAGTCCTGAGGATCCCTCCAATCAGCTCCATCCTGGAGGGCCTGGGGTCATCAGTGGAAGGATGTTTTAAGGAAGTTCTGTTTTTCAGGTAAGGAAGGGCTGGGACTTCAGAGGTGGTGGGTACACCCAGAGTTGACTGAATGAGCTGGAGACATGGGGGGGCAGGTGATGATGAGGGTTCAGGGTCACCTGATGATGGTGGTGAGACAGTCAACCAGGAGCTGCTTCTTCTGCTTGGAGACATGGGTCCAATTGTCAGGAGATTCTTCCTCAGAGGGTTCTGACTCTTCCCTGGGTTGCTTCCTCTTTGGCAGATCCCTGGGGAAGGCCATGACATTCTGAGTAGCCTGGGCAAGCCACCATGCTGGGGTTGGGTGCACAAGCAATGGTGATGGCCGTGCAATCATGAGGACATAGATGAGTTTCGGGCAGCCCCAGCCTTAACTCATATGTAGTGCTACTGCATTCAGGGGACCAAGCCCAACCCCCAGAGTCAGTGCAGAACCTGAGAGGCTCCAAGTTGGAGAGGGGAGGAAGTGAGGTGCGCAGAGGCCTAAGTGGGTTCCCCAGGGAGCTCTGGCTTTTTGTCCCCATTCTCATAAAGGCTTAAGCAGTAATGGGGACATCCTGGGAGAGCCTCATTAGCCCCATCACCACTGCACTTGCTCCAAGCCTTCAGCAAGGGTTGGGTCTGGGCAGCCCCTGTTCTGGAGGAGGAGAGGGGGCAGAAAGCAGAGGAAGGAGATCCCTCCCTCCCTGAGAGTTCACCGGTGCAAGAAGTGACGGGGAAAGTCAGAGAAGAAGTTGGCCAGGAAGTAGTCGGTGGCATGGGCACGAGCAGTGAGGCCCAAGCAGAGCATGCCTGGTGAGGGTGGCTGGGGGCATGGCCAGGATGTCTCCTCCTTTGGGATCTTAAGGTTCCAGCTGGCAGGCCGGTTGAGAGACTGCTGGTTCTTGATGGGGGGCAGCGTCTTTGGGATGTGAGAGACATGGAGGACCAAGATTTGGGGACCATATTCTTATCACCGATGGGCCCCTAGCCCCCAACCAGTTCCTTTTGGGCCACATAGGGATGTGACCCCACCCACTGGCACTTTTGTCCCTCCCTTCCAGGAGGCTCTCCCCGGGGTTGGAAGCATCTCTGAGAGTGAGCTCTCTCAAGTTATCCCAAGGAGATAGGCCTGGGGCTTATGGCCTCACCTTGTACTTCCTCACAGGTTCACAGGCTGCGCAATAGGCCCTTCTCTGTGGAAGCAAAGAGACCCTTGCTTAGGATACAAGAAGCCTGAGGGGGGACTCCCCTCTTCCTACCCTTCCTGCTGGCCCACAGAGGGCCTGAAGCCAATGCTGGGACCTGCTGCCCTCTTGTTCCTGCCCAAAATCCAGTCACACCCTCTTCCAGAAACTTCCCTATGGAACTGCTGCCCGCAGACAAGGAAAATGTGGTTACCCAACTGAAGGAAAGAGAAGGAGATGCCGTCGACTTGTACAGGCTGCCCCAATGCCCTGGAGCTTGTGTCCTGGAGCTTTGTGGTTTGGTGTGACAAGGAAACAGCCTTTCTTATTAAGACTTAATTTGAAAATCCCTTTTCCCATCCCTTCAAGGCTTGATTTGCATTCACAGCTGGGCCAGAGCCTCAGAGGGGAGAGGTGCCTCCCTGGGGCTTCAGCGTGGTGGATGCAGAGGTGATCAAGGTGCAAGAATATCCACAGGGATATATTGAAAAGGGAGTAGGGGGGGACCAATACGGATGCTTTATCTCATGTCTGTTATTGGTCTCCCCCACAAATACTAATAGCCCATGTTTCGTGGATGCTTACCAGGTGCCAGGCACTGCTGTAGACACACGTATTAGCTCACTTAATCCTCACAACTCTATGAAGCAGATACTATTTGACTTGCATTTAAAAATACTTCTAAAACTTTTATTTTTAACCTTCTTAATACAGTTAATTTCAAATGTATACAAAAGTGGAGAGATGGCTACAAAGAATCCTCTGTAACCCACCATCCAGTTCCAAAAATCAGCAACTCCCAGTGAAGCTTGTCTCGTCTATGCCCCCGCTCTGGATCATCTTGAAGCCAAGCCCAGGGGTCATATCACCCCCATTTTACAGTTGAGGGAAACTGAGAGGTTAAATAACTTGGCCAAGATCACAGAACTAAAAATCCTCAAAGCCAGCAATCAAAGTCGGGCAACTTGTGTCCAGAGCCTACACCAGAAACCACTATACCACACTGCCTTCCATCGGAAGGTGAGCTCTGCCTTGTTTCCCTGGGCCCTCAGTGCCCAGCACTTAGTACGAACTCTTTAAATACGTGAAGCAGGCGATGGTCAGCCACCTTCTGTATCCAGAGTCGCCTGGGAAGATGCTATGCTTAATCTAGTGAAAGAAATCTAGTCTCTTACGGCAGGCTGGCCAGTGTTGCATGTAGGACCACCTTGGATCGCCACCTCTGTCCCCTCTGGTAAGGTGAGTCAGAAGGATCTGTAGTGTTCAAGGCCCACTCTGCCCTCCTCACCTTCACTTTCTTATCTGTGATGGTGAACTCCACTTCCTGTCGCGCCTTCTCATCCTTCCACTCCTGCAGCTCCTTATTGTACTGCTTCAGGAGTTCATGCTGGTACACCTGTGGCCCAGGACAAGGAGAAAGACCAAGGATTGGTGGGCCTGTAGCCAGGCCTTGTCCGGGCCCTGTGCCATGGGCCCCTCACTCTTCCATGGGCTGGCCCCTGCCTCTCCCTGGGGGTCTGGGGATCTTATAGCCTATCCCAACCCCCAGGGCTGGGAGTTGTGCTCTATCCCAGCTTCTCTCTGGGGCTGATCTTACCTTGCATACCAGGTCCACGCTGTAGAAGCTGGCATGCACTGAGGCCTTTAAGGTCACCACAAATGGGACTGACTCTTCAGGAGCCACCTTCCCTCTCATAGGACTCACAGACACCTGTTGATTTGGGGAAGGAGACTCTGGAGCTTCATAGGAATGGGATGGGACAAAATGGGATGAGATGGCATGGCATGGGATGGCATGCAGTGGTATGGGGTGGGGTTGGATGGGTGAGATGGGATGGGATGGGATTGGATGGAATGGAGTGAAATGGAATGGGATGAGATGGGATTGGATGGGGTGGGACAGGGTAAGATGGGATGTGGTGGGATGGGATGGGATGGAGTGAAATGGAATGGGATGAGATGGGATGGGATGAGATGGGATGGGATGAGATGGGATGGGATGAGATGGGATGGGGTAAGATGGGATGTGGTGGGGTGGGATGGGATGGAGTGAGATGGAATGGGATGAGATGGGATGGGATGGAGTGAGATGGAATGGGATGAGATGGAATGGGATGGGATGGGATGGAGTGAGATGGAATGGGATGAGATGGGATGGGATGGAGTGAGATGGGATGGGATGAGATGGGATGGGATGAGATGGGATGGGATGAGATGGAATACAATGTAATGGGATGGGGTGGGTCTGGAGCCCTGATGGAGGTTCTGATTCTGTGGACACAGGGGACTCTCACCTCCCCAAAATCTAGAGGCCTCAGCTGCCAGACGAAGGCAATGGTCTCATTCTTAGAGACATTGTTGAGGAATAGCAGGCGGCTGCACTTGCTCTGCACAGGAATGTTTCCCAGGGAGATATGAGACTGGGACAGGAAGACATTCTGTTGTTGGAGACAACACAACAGCAACAGCAACAGGTGAAGAAATAATAACCATAGCAACCACTACCAGTTACTGAGTGCTTTCAACAGGCCAGGCACCACAGTAGGCAATTTACATGCATTTGAGGCTCCCAGTGGCCTATGACATAGGTCCTATTATTATCCTCATTTTACAGATGTGCTGCTAAGTTTCAGAGAGCATAAATAACTTTTCCAAAGATCTCTCACAGGCACAGCTGAGATAAACCTAGTCATTCTCACTCTAAAGCCTATGATTTTGACCTTAAAATGGGCTTGGAAGGACTGAGAACTCAGAATTCATTTAGAAAAGACAGAAAAAAAGCCAACATAATTTGAGTGCCTGAAGGATGGTTGTAAATTAATAGGTGATGGGCTGTTGGCATCCTCCCTGGGCACAGAACAGGAGCTGTGTTGTACGTGTCTGGAAAGACTAAGCCCCCATGGAAGGGGCACTTTCTCTCTGTCCAGGTCCTGAGTGCCTCCACTGAGTGGGGCTTTGTCTGGCTCTTGTCTGTGTCCTCAGGACCTCCACAGTGCTCATCCTGCAGTAGGAGTCCAACGAGGGTAGGAGTGGAAGGGTGGCCAGGTGAAAGATGGGTGGATAGTGACTGGATAGGCACACAGAAAGATAGATGGAGAAGTGGGTGGATGGATGGATGGATGGATGGATGGGGGAACGCATCAGACCTCCCAACGGTTAGGAGTGTGTGAACTAAAAGTAGTGTTGTCGACCCTAGATATCTTTCAGCACCATCCATATATGTCCAAGAGAGGGGCTATTCTGCATGAAGATAATCCATCAGAGCCCTAGAATGGGGGAGCCTCTTTATACTCATTCCAATACCTTCATCCCAATGCCCAGAGAAGAGGGTGGCTAGAGGACCCTGAAGCAGGTGGCGTGGCTTGAGAAGGAACAGCTGTGGGCACTAGGTGGCAGGGTAAGCCTCTCATGGAGCTGGTGCTGCCTCCTCAATCTGGAGGAGGGCTGGTCCAGGCTTCCCCTCTTCATCCCTCCCTTCTCATCTCCATCTCATTTCCTTCTCAGCCTCCCCATCCCTCTGCACTGGCCACTGTGGGCCCTCAGCCTCCTCTGAGGCCTCAGGCCTTCCCAGCTCCCTTCCCCCTACCTGTCCAGGAACCATCAGCCTAGAGGGTATGGAGCTGTCGTCCCACGAGGAGATGTTGTGGAATGGGGCTGTGTCCCCCATGACATGGGGGTCATAGCCCACTCCCTGGAAGCAGATGATGGCTGAATTCCATCCCAGGATGTGTATGGGCACATCCACCTGGGAAGTTGGGAGGTTAGGAGAAGGAACTGGTCAGAGCAAGGCCTGCTGAGAAGGCCAACTCCAACCCCCCACCCCCACATTAGCCCAGGCTGCTGCTCACGGAGTAGGTCTTGGCCTCAATGGGCGAGAAGATCCACAAGACCCGAGCCGTCGTTCCTGGCTGGATCTCCCCTTGCGGGTTGAGGCAGCAGAAGATGGGGTGATTGAAATTTTTCTCCTGAACCTGCGACAGGATGTTGGTCTGGATCTCATATCTCACGGGCACGGAACCACCGTTATACAGCTCATAAATCTGCAGAGGGCAGGAATGGGGAAATCTCCATACCAGCTCAGAGCTGCAATGCAGAGAGCCTGGGTTCCATGTCCACTGTGGGACAGGTTGAGCTCCACGATGTCACCTTTACAGTCCCAGAGCTCCCAAATACCTCTGATTTCCCCAATGGCTTGATCATCCAAGAAGGATGTAATGTATTTTCAGGTTGTGACATTTTAGGATAATCTACAACCCTTATTTTATTTGCTCTCAACTTACCTTTGTCAAGGTTTAAGGGGACACTAATGCTCGTGTCCCTAGTGTTGGAATTTACGGAAATGTCCATGCACGCACCATCCAGACCCTTCATCGCTTTCTAGGCTCTTGTTCTAATCACCCATGAGGCTGCCACTTTCCAAGTCTGCCATTAGAGGCAGTCCTGCTTGAAGGTAGATAAGGGAGCAGAGGAAGGTCTGAGGTCCCGAGACTAACTCCAAAGTTTGGGAATAACAGAATGTCCTGGAAGAAACCAGAGATCTTCTGGTTCAATCTTCCACCTTAGAGATGAGAAAATGGAAGCCAGAAGGAACAAAGACTTCATCTGGATTTAGGCCTGGCCCCCTCATCTTTCTCAGCACTGAATATGCTGACTAATTTCTCTAGCCTGGACCATCCTCTGAGCTCCAGACTTTGTATCCAACTTCCACTTGACAACCCCTCTTGGTTGTCTCCTAGGCATCTCAAATTTGGCTAAAACCAAACTCTTCACTCTAAAACCTATTCCTCCCCCCAGTTTATCTCCTCTCGGCAAAAGGTACTACATATTCCCAGGAGATCCAACTAGGAATCCACTACATCCTTAATCCCTCCCTTTCTCTTTCTTCCCAGACCCAATCCCCAGCAAGTCCCAATGATTCTGCCTCCAGAATGTAAATTACATCTGTTCACTTCAGGTCCAAGCCACCATGTGTCATCATCTCAAAAATGACAGAGGAAGCTTGGCCACAGTTGTGGAGTTTGGTTGGAGGCATGACTGGGTCTTCTGGCTCTGGATCTGGGGGCATTTCCATTGTCTATGTTCAGGGCCACAGGGGAGTGGTCTGGTCTCTCTGGAAAGCTCTCCGGGGGGCACATGAGTCTTTGCTTTCCTTTTCAAGAGTCTGGGCTTCTGCAGGCTTGGGAATGGCCAGCCCCAGGGCATTCTGCGAAGCCCACAGGGTAAAGGGTGGTATAGGGTAGTGTAGGGAAGTGAACAGACCTCGGGGCTGGGGGACCTCCTCTCAGGACCAGAAGGTCCATTCCTTTGCCTCTAGGCTGAATGGCCAGAGACTCCTGCCCAGAAACACAAGGGCTTCTAAGTGGGAAATTTCAGAGCTAAGAATGTTTGGAAAAACACCATGTCCCCTTCTTGGAGATTTCCAATGCACATTTTCAGAGCAAAGGAAACTGATTCCCTCCAATTAATAAAGAAAATTCTATTGCTTCATGAGGATTCACATTCCAGTTTTTCCCATTCCAGTGTCTGATTTTGGAGCAGTGATTTTCAAACTGTGGCTGAGACCGATTAGTGAGTAGGTCATGAAACCAATCGAGTGGGTCATGTCCAGCATTTTAAAAGCAGAAAAGAATAAAATAAAAAGGAAAACATCAGAGTGCTTTGCATGTAGTAGCATACATATTGATTTGCGATACTTTTGTTTTGGTTGTATGTGTATGTAAGTACTGGGTTATTATCCCAAATACATTAGTGTGGTTCGCAGTCAAAGAAGTTTGCAGAGCCCTGTGCCAGGGGAAAGGCACTGAAGGCTGCACAGGGCTTAGCACCAGGCACAGGAAGCTGCAGCATCTCGCCTCTGGTGTCTCCCAGTTGCTCAATCTCGGGGCTCAATCTGCAGCCCCACCTCCTGGGGTGAGGGCTGCTGAACGGCAGGGTCTTTGCCACCCCGTCAAGGGCAAGTGCAGACACAGGGAGATTGATCCTTAAGCCTCTTGGTGACCAGGACGATGTCGACCACTGACCTGCCTTGGGGGCAGTGTATCGCCGATGGGGACAGGGGTGAACTGGTGGCTAGTAGAGGTGAAGTGCACGTACTTCTGCTCCAGCTTCACTGTCACACCTATGAAATTCAGCTGGAAATAGAAAGCCCATGAGTAACACCCCTTCCTGGGGGGAACTGAAGCATCTAGCAGAGAGATCTGGACCCCAGCTCTCTGGGGAGCTCGGTTCTCTGCTCCTCTCTTTGTTGTCCAGGACGGGACCAGGGTGCTAGGCCTCACCAGGATCTCACGGCCGTAGGACACCTTGAAGAGCACTGGGAGACGATCAGTGCCGATGAACAGGTGGCTGGAAGAGAGGAGACAAGTCTGAGATGAGTTATGGAGCCGTGGTACAAGCCGGAGAACAAATGGTCAGGCATGCTTGTGGCTTTGAGCTGGCTAGCCTCTGGGAGCATGCGGAAAGCCCTTAGTTGAGATAGGGCAAGAGGTGAATTAAACCTCCCCTATAGGTGGGAAGCTGGGGTTCTCCCAGGGTGGTGGCCATTCAGGGAACCCTGGGGTTACATGGTGCAAGGCCAGTCTTCTCCAGGCACCAGGGGAAAGGAGGTCTCTGGGACCAGAAGGGCAGGCCAGGCGGTAGGGGGATCACCTGTATTTGAATTCCACTATCTGCTCCTGCCCAGGACTCAGGCTCCCGGCCTTGGGGCTGATGGAGAATATGCAATTGTCCTGCACGCGCATTTGGTGTAGCTCGGTGGCGTCAAACTCTGCTTGCTCTGCCCACAGTTCCAGGTCGATTTGCTGGTCACTTGGAAAGAGGAAGGCCCTGGGAGAGGGGCACAAAGCAGGGGGAGTGGAGCCCCTCAGTCAGAACAGAAAGGGGGGAGCTTGAGGCCCTGGGTGGGGCAGATGGAGCCCTCCTCCATGCCCCCCTCCCCGACTTCATCCCCCCATTTGGCAAGCTGTCCTATGCATGGCTGAGCAAATGTGGCTGTCGTGGATTCTCATTCCATAATGGCCTCAAAGCCTGGGAACAGAGCAAGGCCACAGTGACTACAAGGGAAGTGGAGACCAGGGCCCTCACAGTGGGTGCCAAGGATTGAGGGGGGTGCTTGTATATGTGGGTCACTTTGAGCTGGCCACTAACCCGGGAGGGGTTTCTATGACAAAGCCCTTAGGAAGAGCCATTTGAGGCATCTAGGAATGCCAGCAGCATCAACCAGGGGTCCCTGAGAGGGAGGTGTCCAGGCCAGCTTGGGCACAGGGCAGAGAACAGACACCCCAGCAGGGCCAGCACTCTGGAAACTGCAGCAAGGCTTGGAGTAGAATTAATGCCCCTGAAATGCCTCACGCTGTAGTGAAGCAAATGCTGCCCTCCAAAAAGCTGACAACACAAGTGACACAGGGGTCCCAAGGTCGCAATCGGAAAAGGATGGCCCTTCACTCTCAGAGAGATGGCACAGAACTGGCCTCCAAACGAGCAGAGGGTATGAACAGGGAGCAGCCAAAAGGGGAAAAGAAAACGGCCAACACATCGGAAAAGGCACGATCAGTCAGGGAAATGCAAGTGGGAACTCGCTCGAATCAGGTCAGAACCCTGAAAAAATCGCTACATCCAATGCCAGTGAGTTTAGAAAGAACAGACACCCTCAAACATGGGAAGGGAGAGAAGGACCTGCTGCCACTTTTGTAGGAATTTAGGCAGCATCTATTAGGATAAAAAATGTATATGCCCTTGGACTCAGAAATTCTATTTTGGGGGATCTGCAAGAATAAATGCAAGCATGTGTGCACACACACAACACTCACGCAGACACAAGGATGTTTATCACAGCTTTGCTTGTAGTGGCAAAAAAAAAAAAGCACTGGGAACAACTAACGCCATCCAATAAAGGAGTGGTTTAATAACTTAAGGTCCATTCATAATAGAGAATATTATGTGACTATTAAAAAGAATGATTGAGATGTGTGTGTGTTGATCTGTATTGACCTAAAGGGAATGTGATTGGTATAATGCAGAGTGAAAATGTTATTGACAGAATGCTAAGCAGGAAGTAATAGGTATAGTATTGTGCCGTTACTGTCAGAAAAAATGAGGAGAAACAGGGTAACCCCGTGGCTGCGTCCATGTGTCTACATTGTGTGAGGGCTGAGAGTAAAGCGCACGCTGATCCCCCATCACCACACCCAGCGGGCTTGGAGAGGGGCTGGCCATTTCTTACTTCTCTCCCATCACCCTTGTTTCATTGACTTGTTACAGGTAAATAAACTGCTTTTGTCGTTTTATCTGGGGATATGGATCAGTGGCAAAACTAGAGATCTTGCTCCTCTGGGGTCATCCAGGTAGTTTCAACCCCTCTGTGTCCTTCGTGGCCCTCAGTCAGTCTCCCTCCAAATACTCCCGACCCCCTTTCCTTTTCTGGCGCGGTCCCCCATCTGGGACTGTGGGACCCTCCCCCCGCCCCCCGCCCTGCCACCTCATCCCTCTGCCTCAAGCTGCTAATCCATTTCTCTCCTCGCTCCCTGCACCCCAGACCAGAGTGACAGCTCTTGAAATAGATCATGTCTTTGCCCCCCATCCCGTCGATGCCTCAGGAAGAAGTCTACACTCTCAGAAGGAGGAGGAGTCTGAGGCCCTGCATGCCTTGGCCTTGGCAGGCCTCCCCAGCTGCATCCTAGACTCTTCTCTTTCCCGGATCAGCACTCCAGCCACGAAGGCCCTTTTCTCTTACCCACGTTCATGCCAGGCCCTCTGTCTGGAAGGCCCTTCGTAGCTTCTCTTTCTCTTCTCTCTAGGCTGCAGGTCTAGCTTAGTTGTAGCTTCCTCCAGGAAGCCTTTCTGGTATGCCCCCCACCATCCCTGGCAAGATGGAGTGAAGTGGCTTTGAGTGCTGCACACACTCTCACAGCAGACATCACCCGGCACCCTGGAGGGCAGGACCTGGGCTCCTCACCATTTCTACTCTGAGGACCAAGCCTGAGCTGGCACCTAGGAAGCCCCCAGTGAATGTTTAGCTAACGACTTAACGAGTGCATGAGGGAACAAATGCCATTACCCAGTATCGGTATCTGATGCTGTAAGGAATCTCTGCTGAAAGGCAAGACCCTACACTCCCTGGGCCAAGGGCGGAGGCTGAGGAGAAGGCTTGGAGGGGGTGGGGCAGCCCTATTTCCTCTGTTGGTCTCCCTCCCACTTGGGGCTCTCACTCCATCCTGCCTGCTGCCGTGCCTCCAGGCCAAGTCCACACTCCCCATTTCTTACTGGTTCTGGCAGGAATAAAACCTTCAGTCTGTTCTTTATGAGCTCAGCAGAGACTGGTTAGAATTTTCAAAAATAGCCTTCTAAGAAATGGAAAGGAAACACAACAACACATAAAGCCTAGGAGAGTCGGGCCTTCCAAGGAAGGTTGCCCGCACTTGGCATCCTGGAGGCAGCACGGACGGCCTTCCTGAACCTCAGATGATCCCCGACGGACGGGCCGGCGCAGCGGGCACTCTGCCTGGGCTTCCTCTTGCCTCCGTTTCCAGCAACCTGGACCCTCTCCATGGAGAGTGTGAGCTGGCTTGCTCCTACACAAACACACCCCCGCACAATCCTCTAAAATACCCTGCTGCACGCCGGCATGCAGGCCAACGCACCATTCCTGCCCCCACCCCCGACCCCTGTAGGGCCTGGCTCCTGGCCACTCAAAGAGCCCAGTGAATGGTGGGTCCGGAGCTCAAGGCGGGCCCTGGCCTTCCCCACCGGCCGGCTGCCCTGCTTGCCAAGCTGCCTCAGTCATTCAGGGCCAGCACGTCTCAGACAGGAGCCACCTAAGGAGGGAGCTTTCCCAGCACCCTCCACCACGGGGAGGGGTGGGACAATCCAGACAGTACCCCTGATGATGCAGCCTCCACCCCACCTCTCCCCCACCCCGGATACGCCAAGACTCTGCTCAGGCAGGAAGGTTCCTGAGATTACAGATGCCCCCAGCTGCGTATTTTCACTCCCATCCACCCACTGCCATGCCCAGCCTGGGCCCCCAGCTCTCTCTCCCAGGCCTGACCCAGATGGGGACACATCTTTCTCACCTTCCTTTAGCCAAGTGAAGTTGGAAGTCATCAAAAAGAAGTCAACTAGGAAATCAAGGTGTGTAGTGGAGGTAGGGAGGAAGCACAAGAAAAAGCCCTGGCATGGAAATGAGATGCTTACTGGGCACAAGTTCGGGGCCCCAGTGGGAGGAAAGGGGAGCACAGGAAGGGCCAAGCGTGGAGGCCTCAGGTCTCCAGGACGGGGCCCCATGTGACTGGAGAAGTGCTGCCTGCCCCACAGCCTCGACCCTTCCCACAGCCCCGCGCAGCTTCGTTCAGCCATGCCGTCCTTCCTGACACGGGCTCAGTGGCAGCAAATCCCTGTCATCCCTCACCAGAGACCCTCAACTGGCCCCCGTGCAGGCCCGGCCCCCACTGGACCGGGGCTCCGTCAGGGGTGCCCCAGCACCCAGCGTGGTGCCTGGTACGCAGCCGCAGTTTGAAGCCATCTTGCTGACTAGCTGGTGGAGGCTGGGGCTCTGGAGGTGGACAAATCTGGATTTGAACCTGCCTCTGCTTGCTAATGGCTGAGGGGTCTTGGCTGAGTCCTCAGCCTCCCATTTAGGAAAGTCAGCAGAGGAGGATGTTTTACCATGTTAGGGTGAGGCTTGGAGGAGAAAGGGCTTGTAAACAGTGCCTGGCACGAGCAGATGCTCCGTGGCTGCTTCTCATTCAGGAAGCTACTAAGATGACCGTGCCAGCCTCCATCAGGGTGATTCCACCACTGCTGAGGCTATTAACAGGTCTCAGCCAGTGACAGCTCTGGTGTCCTGCTAAGCGACCCCAGTCCCACCCAGGCCTCCACACTCCATCAATGGGGGGCCCATTCTTTCCAGACACCAGGCAGCCAGGCCTCCCACCAGCAAGAGAAAGCCTCCAGCACCTGCCTCCCGGGCCCCCCGGCAGGCCCCTCCGGCCAGCCATACCAGTCCAGGGGCACCACTCCGCTGTTCTTCAGGGCCAGGAGCGCCACAGAGGGTGGGGCCTCTATCGGGGCTGCCCCAAAATTGAAGGTGAGCTTCAGAGGGGTGAAGACGGGGGGGATCTGGTTTGTGCTGTGTGGAACAGAGAAACGGGCTCAGAGACAGGGATGGGGACAGGATGGGGCCCTCCCAGGGGTGGCTGGCTTGGTATTCATCTCCCTTCTGGCGGGAATTGGAGACTCTGGGCCTCAGGGGAGGGGCAGGCTGGCACTTCCCACCTCAAGCCAATCCCTGCCTTCTCGGGGCCCCTCCAGGGACAGGCAAGAATTTGAGGGGAGATAGGGAGCCACTTCTTGGGCATGGCCTGATGCTGGATGTGTGGGCAGAAAGCTCCAAGAACATCTCCAGATAGGCCCGGTCCTCGCCCGGGCCCAGCTCACCTGTGCCGGGTGGGCACCTTGTAGGTGAGCTCCCAGGGCGTGGGGTCGCGCTCCAAGTAACTGTTGAGCGTGTCCAGGGAGAAAAGGCGCCATAGGTGCTTCCGGGTGATGCCCTCGGCACTGCCCATGGAGCAGGCGTCCAGGACGGAGAGTAAGGGGTACACGGCCGTCAGGAAGACGCGGCACAGCTCCTGCTTCTCCCCGACCTTGTTGTCTGGGGGAAAGGGATGTGCAAGAGGGGAGTGAGCTCACCTCCCAGCCCCCCTCGGAGCAAGGCGCACAGGCTGAGGGGCAGGACCCCTGGGCCACTTGCCCCGGGACCCTTGTTGGGAGCAGCAGGTGTCTCCCAGGCTCTGGGATGTTTCCAACAATAGCCAACGGTAGCCGACCCCGTCTGGCACTTTCTCCGTGCCAGGCCCTGTCCCAGGTTCTCCCCTACACCACTGTATTGAATGTTCTCTGTTATTTGTCTTCAGACTAGCAATTCTTACTAATAGCTTTACTGAGGTATAATCTACATACCATAAAATTAACCCTTTTAATGCATACAATTCAGCGGTTTTTCGTATATTCACAGAGTTGTGCAATCATCACCACTACCTAGTTTTAGAACATTTTCATTACCCCAAAAGGAACCGGTGCCAAGTAGCTGTCATTCCCCATCACCCCTCCCCCACCCCTGGCAACTAGAAATCTACTTTCTGTCTCTGTGCATTTGCCTATTCTGGACGCGTCACATCAATGGAATCATATGCCACGTGGCTTTTTGGGACTGGCTTCTTTCGCCTGGTGTAACGTTCTCAAGGTTCATCCACGTGAGAGCATGTCTCACTACTTCACTCCTTCTTCTTGCCTGTGCGCCGTTAATATCCCCATTTTACAGATGTGGAAACTGAGGCACAGGGAGGTTAAACAACATGCTTAGATTACATGGCTAATCAGCACTGGGGCCAGGGTCCAAGCCCAGGCAGTCTGGCTGGACTCCACACTCTCAGCCACTCTTCTGTGCTGCCCTGGATTCCTCCCAGCTGGCCTCGGGGGGGCTGGTAATGACTCCATTTTACAGAGGAGAAGGGTGAGGCCCAGGGTATCTGAGGATTTGTCTAAGATCCCGCAGTAAATTAGCATAGCTCCAAGCTCTTCACATTGAGTCCTCCAGAGCTCAGGCACACACATACATGGACGCCCACAGACAGACGTGGGTAGTTGGAGGCACACACACCAGATACGCAAAGGCACACCCTGGCACACTTGCACTCATTCTGCCAGTGCTGCCTGGACCCTCAGCATCCTCCCACCTCAAGTCCTGCTCACACAGCCCTCCCCCTCTCCTCCCTGGCCCTGACTCTCCGTGACACATGGCCCAGGTACCTCTGTGGGAGAGGGGAGAGTAGCTGATGGTCCAGGAGTACTGGGACCGGTGTTTGGGACAGGCAGTCAGGCAGATGGTGTCCTGGGACCGGGGTGGCACGCTCCCCTCCATGCGGTCCAGCTGCAAAGCTGCTCAGGGATGACCCGGGTAGAGTAAAGGGCAGAGGAGGCCCTCAGTGAAAGCCAGAGCGGCCCGGCCTCTCCTCCTGCTCCTTCCCAGACACCCTCCCCTGGGCCAGAGAGCAGGCCCTGAGCCAGAAAATGGGGAGCAGAGTCCCTCCTCCCAGACCCAGACAGAGGGGACCTGTCTCTGTGCCACTGGCACCTGCTAAGTCTTTTGCTTCACCCGTAGCCCCATTTACGGATGAGGAAGTTGAGGCTCAGAGAAGACAGTCACCCACCCAATGCCAAGCATCCAGAAAGCAGAAGCACCAAGTGCTCTGCCTGGCCCCAGACCATGGTATGGTCAACCAGTCTGAACCAGTGCCCCCCACGGCCCTCCTCCCCAGCCCCAGCCCCGGCCCTGGCCCAGGACTGTGTACCGAGGGGATCTTCGCCGACGACCTCGGGGCTGCCCTGCTCCAGGAAGAGGCGGTAGTAGAGGGTGCAGCTGCCCTCGTTCAGGAGCACCAGCAGCCTGGACTGCTTGCTGTTCACCAGCATGTTCCCGAAGTCCAGCTCCTTTTCCTTGGCCTGAGGGCCAGAATCAGCCAGCCTAGGCTGAGGGGCTCCCCCAGGACCATGCCGCCAGCTTTCCCACCCCTGGCCTCAGAGAATCCCCAGGAAGGGCAGGTGCAGAGGTGTGGAACAGAGGGCCAGAGGGCTCCCATCCCCTGCCCTCTTGAAGTCAGGCACCCTGGGGCCTTCCCTCCCACCTGTGCCCTGGCCCCACCCCCACCCGCCAGGGCTCTCCCACTTACAGAGAGGCTGCTGGTGATGCCCATGCCCACCAGCCGGAGCATGTAGTGGGTGGTGGCAGGGGGCTTGGTGTTTGGGGGCAGGCCGGCTTCCCAGACCCACATCCCCACTTGGAACAGGTACTTGGTCTCCTCCAGAGGGCTGAAGGTCCACGTCAGCGTCTGGGGTCCCAGAGATTATCCCTGTATGGGGGTCTCTGGGAACCCCCCACCCGGGTTCCTGGCCATCTGAGGTCCCACTGCAGGATATCAAGCTATGGTGATTCTTTATGAGTGTCGGCGCTGTGCCAGGCACTTCACACATGTCACATATTATGTTATCTCCCTAAGCCCCTCAATCCTTTATCCCCACGAGGTAAGTGGTATTATTTTAGTGCCTCATTTTCTGATGAGAACCTGGACACTCAGAGAAGTGGGGTAACTTGCCCAAGGTCACACAGCTGGTGAGGGCCACCTGGTGGGAGCTCTCATGAACTGACTTCACATGAGGTGAGTTCAGATGAGGTGTGAACTCTCGTGACTGACTCCAGTCTGTGTACTCTCTCACCTCACTGATTACTATCCCTGGGTTCTAACAGACACCATGTCTTGGTGGTTCTTGGCCCAAATTTGGCCTCTCCAGCTAGTTTATAAGGCCCTAGACCGTATAGGGGTGGGGGTCTCCTAGTTTGGGTCCCAGCCCATGCCCCCTCTAGGCTGCTGCTGGGACCTCTAGGAGTCCCCTTCCTTACTCCTTAATGATAGCCACCAATTTGGCCCCAAATCCAGCTGCTCCACACCACCTCCCAGCCACCTCACAGCTGTGGGGACCGTGGATGGAGAGTGGACTCGCCCCTGGACACTGGCATCAGAAACCCTGTTCAAGTCCCAGCTCTGCGCCTCCTAATTTATAATCTTTATAAGTGGCATTTTCTTCTCTAAGTCTCAATTCTTCTTTGTAAACTGATGATGGTAACAATCGTACCTCCTCATAAGGAGGTGACTAGGATTGAATGGGAGGGTGCTCATGGTAAGCCTGGGCCCTGATAGGCAGGAGTAAGAGATGATGGCAATGGTGAGGATGACGGGGATCCTTCCCTCCGGCCCTCAGAGCGGGGCAGGGCACTCACGAGGCTCTCGTTGGGCTGGATGAGCCCCCTGGGGGGCTGGACGGCCAGCATCTTTCGGTGCTGCTGGGAGACCCTCCACTCAAACTCCAGGGGCAGACGCGAGGGGTTGCGGAAGGTGAAAAGGCTGGTGGAGGAGCAGCCCACCCAGGTGGGCTTGAAGAAGACGCTTCTGCAGGTGTCCAGCTTCAGCTGCAGTGGCTCCTCTCGGCTCTGCATGCTCACCTCCTGGGGCCAGAGGAGAGAGGGCAGTGCACTGACCTCACCCCACAGCCCTGGCTCCCCTTGACGTCCAGGAAGCCACAGGTGGGCAGCTTTTCCCCTTGGAGAGGGCAGGAAAAGGCCCTCTGCCAGCTGGGGCCTGGGCAGCTTCTGTCAAAGGCAGAGTAAGGAATGACTGACCCAGAAGATGGCTCTTGAAAAGAACTCAGGGACTGAGAGAAGATGTACAGACTACTTTGCGGGCCCTGGCCTGGCTCCAAACACCCTCTACAACCTGCAGATGCCAGTCTTTTGTTACCCTCACTCCTTCCTTGGGACCTCTGCACCCCTTTTCCAGTCCCAGATCCCCTGAGGTGGATGGGCAGGGCCCTGAGGGAGAGCTATTCACAAATGTGGCCAAGGGGTCTTTTCCCCGCTCTGCCACTTCCAGAAAGAGAAGCAGCCCTTGGTCACTGTAGGGCAGCTTCAGAGGCCAACCCCAGAACGTGGCTTTGAAAAGGAAAGCCCCAGACTGTGTCCCACTCCCAAGGACCCTGCCTCCTACCTTGAGATACTGGGGGCAAAAATTGAACTGCAAGTAGAATATATGCTGCTTCCAGGCGTTTCCTTTGGGGTAGGTGCAGATGAGGAAGATCTGGTGGGCCCCGGGGGCCACAAGGCCCGAGCTGGGCCGAAGGAAGATGTCTGAGCTGCTTTTGGGGGCCAGGTTGAAGGTCAGCAACATGGAACCTCTGTTGATCAGGAGCAGGCTGCGGTAGGAGGGTTCGCTGGCAGGCACTGCAGGAAATAGCTGGGGCACAAGAGAAGAGGGACTCATGCTCAGATCTACACCCCACCCCCAACACACACTCAGGGAAGTCTGTGTGGGCTTGGGTGGGGCCGTCTGCAAGGAGATCCAAGATGCCTCCACGCATCCCAGCCAAGGTCCTGGGAGCAGGGAATGATGGGAGGCCAAAGCCTGGCACCAAAAGATGCTTCTGTCGTCCAGAGACCTCCAGACAGCGAGACGAGGGGGCCCCAGGAAGTGGCCCCCGGAAAGTCAGCCTTCTGAGACCCTTCTCAAGGATAAGTAGAAGTTCTGTCATTTTAGGGTGCCCTCAAATCATCCTTGGGAGAACCCGCTTTCAGAGATCTTGGTCCAGAAGCTCTGGGGTAAGCAGCCCCTTCTAGATGATTCTCATGCAGGTGGCTTAGGGGAATCCCACTTTGAGAAAGAGAAAGCCCCACAATCCCAGCTTCCAAATGCTCCTTAAGCATCTAGGATGTGGCCAGTACCAGGCTAACAGCCAGGCAGACTATGAAACTCCAGGCCTGAAATCGCTGACCAGGGCGCCCCACCCATCCAGCACGTGCACTGTGTGAGGCGGCGGGGGAGCGATACGGGCCCAGAATGGGCTGGACCGCAGGAGAGGCCACAAACCACTGGGAGGAACTGGCCAAGGGAAAGGCACAGGGGATCGGTGAGGGGAACCCTAGGCGGTCAGGAAGGGCTTCGGGAAAGGGTGCCCCTGAGCTGAACCTCGTGGGTGGAGTAGGTTTAGGGCTGGAGGGCAGAAGTGCAGCTAGCGGGGGGAGCAAGATCACCCCCAAGCACACTGTCCAAAAGTGGCACATCCCCAGGAACACGAGCTAAAGGGGTAGTAAAGATGGATGAAAAGCTTGACAGTGGTACCGGAAGCTGGGAAGAGGCACCAAGGGAGAAACCAGAATTGGAACTTGGCCTTCTGGCTCCAGGATCAGAGCTTTAAGCCCTAGGTCATCCTGCTGCTCGGGTCAGACAGGGCCACCAGCAGCCCTCCAGAGAAGCCTGGGAATTACGACTCCCTGAGGAAGGGGCTAAACCAAGGGGCTGGCTCCCTGACCCCCAAGGCCTGGGTGGTCCCCCAGGACAGGGGCTCATGGCATGCGTGGTCACATCCCTAGGGCCTAGTCTAGAACTTGGGGCACAGCAGGTGCCCAGTAAACAGGACAAATGAAGGAACTGGAGAGTTTTAAACCTCAGTGTGAGAGGATGGAGAGTATTTCAGACGGAGCAAGGAGCAGCCAGAGTCTTCCACTGGCCCAGAGGCCCGGGGCTGGCAGTGGGGAGACTGGGACCGCCGGGGAGGGTGCTGGGATGTGTTTCTGAGGCCATCAGAGAGGGGAGAGGGGTCTGCAGCCCAGGAAGAAGACAGGCTCCCCTGTCTCACCTCCCACTGCTGCTGGGGCCACGCTCACCTTGGGGGCGTCCAGGGAACACTGGGGGATGTGGTGCTCCAAGGCGGTGCAGTAGCTGTGGCCTCGAGCCCGGAGTGTCAGGCACCAGGACGGGCACACGGTGCAGTCCTCTTCGATATTATTGTAGCTTTGTAGGACCTGCGGGGGGGCCAGACCCATGGATGAGTTCAGGGTCCTGTGTCCAACCGCATGGGGCCTCCCAGCTTGCCCCCCTGTACTGCAGGAGTCCTGCACTGGGCACAGAGGGGAGGGGCTCCCTGGGAAGACGATGTGGAGAACAAGTCATCACAGCCCAACACTGAGCTCCTGGCAAACACGCTCCCTAATCCTCACGACAGCTAGGACGAGGCTGGGGCTGGGCTGTGAAAGCCACATTCATCCAGTAGGAATGCGCCTGGAGAAGCGCTGGCCAATAGAAACAGAAGGCGAGCCGCAAGTGCAAGCCGCAGACGTAAATTTTAAATGTTCCCGTAGCCACATTAACAAAGGGAAACATGTGAAATTAATTTCAATAATACATTTTATTTAACCCATTAGATCCAAAATCTCATCATTTCAACATCTAATCAATATACACATGATGCATGGATATTTACATGCTTTTCGTGCGTAGTCGTGGAAATCCAGTGTCACTTAGGTTCACAGCACATCTCAGTTTGGATTAGCCAGACTTAACGTGCTCACAAGCCACATGTGGCTGGTGGCCGCCTTATGGACAGCACAGGGCTAGAGCCTGTAGCCTGAAAATCTGAGGGGCTGAGCCTCAGCCAAGTCAGGGGTCCACAGCCTTATTCCCACAAACCTTCACATTCCTCTACTGCCAAGGTATTGGAATGCAGGCAATGAAAGACTCAGCTTTGGAAAGACTTCTCAAAAGTTTGGATGTGACCCCAAGTTTATAGACGAAAAGACCAGGGCTCAGAGACCTTAAGGGACTTGCCCTAGGTCACACAGCTGGTGAGGGGCTCTGATCTTGACTACACCGCTCTACTCCTCTCGGCCCCAGGACCCTGGCCACTGGGAAAGAACGGCAGGGTGGGCAGAGCCGAGAAGGGAGAGAAGGAGGAGGACTGACAGATGAGGAGGGAGTGACTTGTGTCTGCAACTATGAGGCTGGGCTGGAGACAGCATGTGCTTGAGCTCCCTGGCCACAGGAAGTTGTACCAGAAGCCCTTCCCCACACATGTTTAATTACCGGCGCTCCTGACTCTGTCCCCCGGGCTCTGGATCCTACCCATGGCTCTAAAAGAGCGACCACTTTCTACTGCAAGGACTAAGAAAAGCCAGGAATCCCCCTAGCCAGGAGCCCCAGGGAGCTACTCCCTGTGCACCAAATTTTCCCAAAAGGCTTGACCCCATCTGAGTCCTCCCTCTGAAGGGTGTGGGAGGCGACATATGAATGAGACATAATCAGACAGGCCAAGAAGTGCCTTAGCCAAAGCAGGCCATGAGCCTGGGAGAAGGCAAACCAGTAAGGCTGCTGTCTAGCCAAGGAGAAGAGCCTGGCAGAGGAGGCATCCGACTGCAGCCATCTGCCACCCCCTCCAACCCCACCCTGCCATTCAGGCTCCAGGGCAGGGACCCCACCTTCCCCCATCTCGTTTGCCTGCACACACCTTATAGATAGCGAAGGCTTCTAGCTCCACGGCGTAGAGGGTGTTGGGGTAAGGTGGCTGGAAGTGCAGGCGCATGGCCGTGGACTTGAGCGGGGGCACATCACAGGTGTTTGGGGTCACCCAGAAGGGGCAGTCAGATCTGTGCGTCCAGACCACGGTGATCTTGCCTTTGGTGTGGTTCACCAGGCACAGGGGGACAGGGCTGGGGTCCTTGGGCCCGGGACAGGCACCAAAATCCACCTCAATAGGCTCTATGCTGACGGGCGGGGGGAAGATGGCCATGTCGTTGGTGCCGTCGAAGAAGTACTCAGTCATGGGGGGGATAAAGGGATACTGCAGGGCTGGCATGTCCTCCAGGTCCTGTGTGGGAGAGACCAATTGCTATTCCCCCTGCCACTGCCCTTTATCTGTGCGCTCCCTTCTGGAAAAGGCTACAAGAGCGCCACACAAGTCACTCCAACTACTAATGGAGGCACGGGACTGCCCAAGAATTGCTAGAGAAGAAAGCATGCACGTGAGGAGGGTCGTCCTCCCCCGGGGGCCCAGAGAGGTCACCATACCTCAGTGGGAATCATGAGGGCCCCGTTCCTATCTTGCTCCAGCTTCTTCTCCCTCAGCATGATGCCCAGGATGTCAGGAGGGTAGAGGGTCAGCCCTCGTACCAGGTGTGTGCGATACCAACTGAGGTGCTGAGGCCTGAGGATGGCCGGCTTGGTGCTGTCTGAGTGGCAGGTCCCGATCAGGTCCAGGAACAGCGGGTCCTGTGATATTTGTTTGTGTGGGGCTAGATTTTAGCCTCCGCTTACCACCTTGGCCAGGCACCAGCTGGTCGGGGCACCATTTGTATCACCTTGCCCAGGGCCCTGGGTTGGGGTCCTCTCTGCCCTGCACATGCTGTGTGGGGTGAGATCCAATCCTCCCTGTTCCTGGCCCAGCAGCAGCAGAAAAGTCCCTGGCCTGGCAGCAGTCAGGCAAGATGGACATATCTACCTGGCTCAGAGAGGGTTTCATGTGCCCTGGCCGTGCTCTGGCTCCAAAAGCCGGGCTGGGGCCCTGGAGGCGACGACCCAAGCAGACAGCCCCAGAAGTTCCAGAATATAAAGGAGTGAGCACTAACCCTTGTCTTTATCATTAGGCCTCAGATGGGCCCCTCCAGCTCCCAGGGGAGCCCCTCCTCCCCTCTCCCCCACCACTTACTTGGTGGTGGATGAGACAGGCCACCCGCCGGAAGTAGATGATGGGGTGAGCGGGCTGGAAGGTACAGTGCAGGGTCATGCGGGCCTTGCCCACCAGGGTCCCAAAAGTAGGTCTGATGCTGAAGACGCTCTCCTGGCAGTCAATGGCAAACTGGAAGTGGGCCGTGCAGTCTGACTTGTTCTCAATCCACAGGGACTGCTCCGAGCGCTCCCTGAGGTTGACCCAGCTGAAGTTGACGCAGTAGTGCTGCAGGGACACGGCAGGACCTGGGCATAGGGGATGGGGTCCCTGTGAGTGGGCCCTGCTACCTCGGTGGGGCTGGGGCACCAGCCTCCTCAAGGACGTCTCAGAAAGGGTCCCACTCATTGGAGGTGGTGCTGCCTAGAGACAGGAGGCCAGGCTGGAAAGGCCAAGAGCCCCAGTAGCCTGAGCAGAGCTCCAGCACCACGAAGAGGTGAGGGCAACACTATCTCCAGGTGTCCATGACTGATTCCTCACTGAGCCCACCAGGGGGCAGCAGACACCCAGGCTGAAGGGCAAGGAGGCATCCGGCTCTTAGGAGCAGATAAGGAGCACTTCCCACCCTAAGTGTGGGCTGCTCCTGTCCCCACGGGGACTGCTGTGTCCCGGGGTTGCCAGTACCTCTACAGAAACCAACGACTTTGAGCAGGGTTTGGGAGGCACAGCCAGAGGGCATGATGGACAAGTAGTCCATAGTTCTGACGTCCAAGGTCTCAGGGTGGAAGAACACCGACACGCATTTCTTCTCTCCTGGGGGCACGATGCCATGGGCCGTGGGGCACGAGAAAGCCTGGTCTTTGGCCAGCATGTCTGGGGCCATTTCGATCCTGAAGGGGGCGCTCACCTGTGGGGCCAGGTCGGGGCAGGAAGGGTCTGTCACAGGGTAAGGCAGTCTGTCATTACCAAGGTGCTCAGCTGAGGGAGTGAGGGCAGCTGGTGTCCAGCCTGCACCCTACTTGTCAGCTTTGCGCGTGGGGCGAAGCCACCTCCATCAGGAGAAAGCAAGGGGCCAAGCTGTGTGCCCTGCACTGGGACCACCCAGATGGGGCACCGTTTTCTTTTCCCAAAGGTACCATAAAGGCTGGCTGGGGTCCTGGAGTCAGGACAACCTTAGGGCTGCTCTTGGGGTTGCTCTGTGGGGTCAAAGGATACCCCAGCCCAGCTTCTAGCTGAGGGGACAGGGGGACAGCTGTTGACACGTGTGTGCATCATCAGACATAGGTTATGGGAGGCATGGGGCCAGAGGTATGGAGAGAAAGGGGACATGCTGTAAAGGGGGTGAGTTTTCAGACCACCCAGCCCCGTGGTCCTTGAGTCCTGCCCTCTACGCCCCCCACATACACAGGATGCATACCACTGATGGGTTATACAGCTTGATCTGCCTCTCAGCGGTGCAGCCCACAGCAACGGAGCCAAAATGCAGCACCTTCTGGAAGCCCTCAACATCCTGGTCTTCTGGTCGCTTCTGCTTTATGCTCACTAGTAGTTGGGCGCATTTGGCTGTGGCAGAGATGGGGGCTCTTGGGGAGAAACCCACTAAGGCCTCTGTGACCCCAGCTGAACAGCCCCTTGAAGAAGGCAGGTGTCCCCAAGAAAACACAGATCTGTGACACCAAAGAGGGCAAAGAAAAAGCCAAGCCTGCAGGGCTGGAGGGAGGGTGGGAGGCTGGTGGAGGTCCCACGGGTGCCAGGACGGGAGGTGGGGAAGGGGGCACACTGAGGCTTTGAGACCCAGGGAGGTGCGGCAGGTGGGCTCTGGGGACAGGTGAGAGGTCGGGCCTCACCCACAGCCTGCAGCTGGATGCTGCTCTTCTGCTTGCTGCCCTCCCCATACCAGCACGTGGCTTCAGCTTCATAGATGATAGCCATAAGGGGCTGAATGGTCACCTTGATCTGGGAGGCCTGGCCTGGCTCCAGCAGCCCCGTGGCAGGCAGCATCTGGAACGGGCTGGGGACCTCCCAGGTGAAGAAAGTGGGCAGGTCCCTGCATGGTGGTGGAGGTCAGAACTATGGGGCTCATTCTGACCACTGCCCCTGCTTTAGAAAGACTGAGATGCTGGGCAGCTCCCTCTCCTCCCCCATCATCTTCCCCCACCAGACGTGCCAGTCTCTCCTGCTCCCAGGATCCCTCCTCATGGTTCCTTCTGTCCCCACCTCTAAGCCTCAGCCACTCCCCTCACCCCACATTGTCCAGGCAGAACCAGGCCTCGGCTGTGTCCCCCACAGCACACATGGGCAACTGCAGAGACGGTGGGCAGATCAGATTGTGGCAAGGCAAGGTGGCTCTCAGGTCCACACAGAACATCCCCTCTGCTTTCTCAAACCACAGCTGGTCCATGTACTCCTTCTGCAGTACAGGGGGCCGGGGGGCAGAGGCAGTTGCTGATCAGTGGTAACTGGGTGGTACTCAGAGACCACATACCCCACCCCAGCCCTTGGCCATCCCCCCAACATAACCCCTGAGGGGTGGGCTGGGCCATGGCCTTCCATCTTGGTCTCTGAGGAGAGGGCAGGTTACCGGTGCTCCAACACTGTCTTGGTCTCAGAGATATGGGGCCTCTTTTGCGAGGAACAAAGTATTTGGGGGAATGTTTTGAGAGTAGAGAGAGGCCAAAGAACCTAGGGCTTTCTGATGGCCAATTCAGTTGCACAGCCATTACCCCCCAACATCCAACTGGGAACCACTCCAAGTCTAGTGACTTTAGGATCTGAGCCCCTCCAAGGCTTCCCAAGCTGGCGTTTTTGCTCCAGCTGGCAGGACGTGTGTGTGGGGAGCTCCTTGCTGCTCTGCCCTGCCTCCTGTTCCAAGGTCACTGTGCCTGTGTCCCTCCCTACCCTCTGCTCGCCATGGTGGACCTCACCTCCTCCAGAGGCCGGAAGATGATGGGGAGCGTGAGGGTTATGCCCGGGCTCAGGAAGATGGGCTGAGGGATGACCGTGAAGAAGAACTTGGTCTTGGGGGGCCTGCAGGAGAGAGGGCATAAGCAGTTCAGAATCGGGGCTCAGAAAATGGAACGGGGAGAAAGATTAGGGAAGAACCAGAAAGCTGAGAGCGCTGAGTTCTTGGCACCGTGGAGGGGGAAACATGGAGCTTCTGTCCCGGGAGGACCTGTCTCCCTCATCCTATAACTTTTCGCACAGACCTTCGCTCCAGGATGGCGGAACACTGAACTAAAAGGCGCAGGGGTGAGGAAGCAGCATTGGTACCTCTGGGGCATGTGGGGGTTGATGGGGATGGGAATGGGGAAGGCGGCCCTGATGTAACCTAATGCCTGAGAGCTTAGCTGGGGGAAACCAAGGCTGAGAACAGAGGTGCTGGGGCTGCCTTTCCAAGCAGAGACCTCGGGAGAGCTGCAGAGCTCCAGGGTGGGTCAAAACTACAGATCCTGCAGACTTCAAATATATTAATAAGACCATATTGCCGACAACTCTATACCAATAAATGTTAAAGTTCAGATGAAATAAACACGTTTCTAGAAAAATAAAACTTTCCAAAACTGACTCAAGAATTATACAATAAATTTTACGGCCTCCCCACCTAAAATCATCAAAGAAATAGAATAAGTAGTCAAAAATCTTCCCCCCTGGCACCCGCCGCCAAAAAAAACCCACTAGGCCAGGTGGCTTCACAGCAAGTCCTACCAAGAATGTGATAAAAAATAATTCCAGCATTATCTTCCCGACAATAAAAAATGAGGGACCACTCCCCAACATGTTCTGTGTGAATCCATCATAACGTTGTTACCAAATCCTGACAGAGGCAGAAGAAGAAACAAAAATTACAGGCCAATCTTGCCCATAAGCGAAATATTGGCAAAAAAAATTTAGCAAAAAAGAAATAATGCTCAATCATGCCCAAGTTGGGCTTATTCTAGGAATGTACAGTTAGTTTAACATAGAAAATCAATTAACACGATCCACCACATTAAAAAATTGAGAGAAAAAGTCAAATGATCATCTCAACAAAGAAAAATATTAGATAAACTTCAACACGTTTATGAGAAAACCTCCCAGCAACCTAGGAATAGAAGGGAATTTCTTTAACCTGATAAAGTCTAAAAAGACAAAACGGAACAAAACAACTACAGGAAACACCCAAATTAATGGTGAAATGTTGGAATCTTCCACTTTGAGATCATGAACAAAACAAGGATGGTTTCTATAACCACTTCTGTTCAACGGCAAGCAAAGACCAAGAGAGAAAAGGCATAAGATTGGAAAGAAAGAAAGAAAAATGCCATTTCCATATAAAATATGAGTGTGCACACAGAAAAAAAGGATTGACAACAAATTATTAGAATTAATGTGAGGATTTATCAAGGTTGCTGGACATGACAAGGCTCTGTACAAAACATCCATTTAAAAAATGACTTTCTGAAAATCTAGGAACACGCAGAAAATGAAACAACTCTAAAAGATATTGTATACAACATCGCCAAAAATATAAATGCTTGGGAATAAAGCTAACTAAAGATGTGCGAGAGATCTACAAAGAAAATTTTCCACTTTACTGAGAGAGACATGAAGAAATGTAAATACATATAAACATATATCATGTTCACTAATTGAAAGACTGTTTGTAATGATGTCAATTTTCCCTAAATTGATCTATAGGTTCAATTAAATCCCAGTCAAAATCTGAAAAAGTTTTTTATGTGTAAGCTGATTTGAAGATTTGTATGCAAGTTCAAAGGGCCAAGACGATCCTGAATAAGAGTGAAGTTGGGGGACTTATACTACCAGGGATCAAGATTTACTATAAGCTCTAATAATTAATTCAGGATGATATTAGCTCAGGGAGAGATAAGTAGATCAAGAGAAGAAAACAGAGAGCTCAGAAATGGCCCCAAACATATATGGACACTTGACATACATCAGTGGTGGGGAGATCACCAGGGAAAGCATGAAGTTTTCAATAAATGGTGTTGGGACAATTAGACATTAGGTTGAGGAAAAAATGTCATTGGATCCTTACTTCAAACCATTCATAAAAATCAATTCCACATAGACAAAAAACAAATATGAAAGGAAAATTATTAAGTTTTTAGAAGAAACTACAGAAGAATATCTTCATGACTCAGGGGAGGGGTAGAGAAGGACTTCTTAAGCAAGACACGAGAAATTTTTGACCACAAAAGAAAAAGATCAATACATTTGATTCCTTTGAAATTAAGAAATTCTTTTCCAAAAGACCTATCAAGAGAGGAAAGACAAGCTACAGGGTGGGAGAAGATATTTACAACACATAACTGACATGGATTAGTATCCACAATAAGAACCTCTACTTAAAAAAAAAAAGGTAATCTAGCAGAAAAATGGGGACAGATTTGAGCAGGAATTTCAAAACGAAATGATCAATAACATGAAAAGACATCCAACTGTATTAGTAATCAGGGAAATGCAAATTAAAACCACAACAAATTATCATTATTGGCAAAAATTTTAAATCTTGTATGGAAATGCATACATGGCTGGTGGGAATGTAAATGGATACAAGTATTTTGGAAAATAGTTTGGCTTTATCTACACTAAGCAAATATGTACATGTTCTAAGTCACAGCAATTCTACTCCTGTGTATCAACCCTGGAAAAACTCTTGTACCTGCACAATGGGAGATGCACACAGGATGGTTGATAACAGTCCCAAACTGGAAACAACCCAAACATCCCTCAACAGAAGAATGAATGAGTACATTATAATACAAGCATATGTTGGAATATTATACTGCAGTGAAAAAGGATGAACTATAGCTGCACACGGATGAGTCTTACAAACATAATTGAGCAAAATAAAAGAATGACAAACGTATACCATATTATTCCACTTATATAAAGTTCGTAAGAAGGTAAAATTAAACTATGTCATTTAGAGGTGCTAACATAGGTGGTCAATCCAATTGAGAAAAGCAAGGACATCATTATCATGAAAGTCAGGATAGTAGTGACCTTTATGGGTAGGGAAGGTGTTGCAATAGGGGAGGGGCGCATAACAGGAGAAGGTGAGCTTCAGACATTCTAATTTTTCCATTATTTAATCTGGTCACATGGGTTCCACTTTCAATAATTATCCAAACCATACATGTCTTATACACTCTTCTGGTTTTATACTCCATTTTAAAAGTCCTTTTTTTTTAAAGAGTGCCTGCTTTGGGGGCTCAAGGGCTCAGGGGCTGGGTCTCTCACCCTTCATACTGGTACCTGTACTTCATCTTCTGGATTTGCAAGGATAGATTTTTCAGAACCAGGTTCTTGGTGGTCTCCTTCCCAAGCTCCCAGCCTTTCCACTCCAGCTCCTCAGCCACCTCAATGCCCCAGACGACCCTCTTCCTCACTTTGTCCTGCTTCTTTGGGAAACATATCTGAGTGTCCATGTCACTGGTGGGCTGCTCAGTTGGCAGGGAGAAGGGGGAGAAGAAAGAACGCATTAGCGAGGGGACAAAGGTCTCCCCACCTCCAGAAAGTAAGGAATTACACCACCCATCGCCCCTGGGGGACGGCCTGGAGAGAGAAGGTGAGGAGCAGGCAGGCTCTGGAGTTGGACATTACCTCTTCCAAAAACCATTCACTGGAATGGTTTTCCAACTAAATTTCCTGCGACCCTGCCCCTGAAGCCTTCCCTGGGCCACCCCATCTGGCCATTCCATCTGGCACACTTAGCAATCTTAGCCGGCCTGCTCTGCTCCTCAGTGCACCCTCAGGGACCACTCCCCTCAGGGGCTGCCTCCTCCTCCTTTTCCTCTTTGTCCTATCCCTTCACTACATAACACCCCCCAGCTGGAGCACTCTATCCCAGGTGCTTTTCCAGATACATGGATACGCCGCCATTTGGTCTCCCATCCCTCATCTGGCTGGTGGAGCAGAGGAAGGAGCCAATTCACCTACAACCAACCCCACCTCATGCCCTGACTTTGGGGCCATTCTAGGCACTGCTCCTGATGATGCTGGAAGTGCAATGTACCAATGCTTCCCGGCTATAATGGAACATCCTTTTGTGGGCTGATCCCTAACTGTTCTCTATCTGAGGAGAGGGGGTGGATGGAGATCCCTGGGGCAGCAAGGTGAACACAGGAGGAGGAACCAGGTGGCTCTTCCTACCACAGTCATTGCTGTGAATGCTCAACTCACTGCCATTTTATTTTATTTTTGACCAACTATCACTTTTATATTGTTATATAACATAAGGCCATATTCAGCTGTTCAACAAATATTTGTGGACTACCTATTATGTGCCAGACACCGTGCAAGGTGCCAGGACTACAATAGTGAACAAGGCTGACAAATCCCTTCTCCCTCTGAGCTCACACTCTCAGTTTCAATATTTACAGTGTCAGATGGCCAACATAGTATTTGATTTGCTTATGGAGAAAGGGTGACATGGGTGAGCCAGGTAATTTATTATAAATATCAGTTGGTGCATCAGTCAGGTCCAACCAGGAAAACAGAAGCCATTCTGGGTTTTCAACAAGGAATTTAATGCACAACCAGGGGAGAGTGAAGTAACCCCAAACTTAGAAACATCAAATAGCTGCCACCACATCTAGGTTAGGGGAGATGAGGGTTCTCAGAGCCCAGAGGCCTGTCTGGTGGAGATTGGAGGCACCGGGAGATGCAGCTGCTGACAGAAACACTGTCAAAAGCAAAGAAGGAGACAGAGAAATACCCCGGCTCCTCCCTTCCTCCCACCTTCCAATCTCCTGCCAGCTGACAGCAGAGCAGGGAAGGGCCGTGCGTGAATCTGAGAGCAAAGAGGCCCGAAATGGCACGGATGGAAGGGTGAGACGGTCCACAGGGAGGCGAATGCAACCACCCTCGCCTCTAAGGAGACATGAGGATCTTCACACAACACAGACATGCGCTGCACCAAACACAAAGTCGTACCCCACAATCACACCCCAGACAGTCAGGCACCACCCCCCCCACCCCCCGCAAGCCCTGCAGAGCCACTGAGAGAGAACCCCCAGGGCTGCAAAAAGGAAGCAACAACCATGCATTGGTCAAACATAAAGTCCTAGTGGTCAAGGTCAGAAGAGCTTCTGAAGGAAGAGAGAACTCCCGGCCACTCCATTAGTCTCCGACTCACACCGCCCTTGAGTTCTCCTCCCACCTCGGTCACCACCACTGCTACCACCGCTCTGGTCAGCTTGGTGCTCTATCTATGCAGGGTTTAGTGCTGGGGTGTAGACAGGAGAGTCCGGTCCTCTCAGATTTCTACCCACCTGCCCTGCCACCCACCCCTCACCCTGACCCTGCTGCACCCTGTTCCACCACCCTGGACACATCCTCACCCGGACACTGACGGTGCTGCTGCAGGCACTCATGGCCACACTGCTGCCAACAATGGTAGGAACGGCTATCGTGCTGGTACTTTGGCATGATCCAGAGTTCATGGTATAGTCCCCGCTGCCCCTAGTCCTCTTGAGGGGGCTTGGGGCTGCCTGGAAGAGCATCGGGCACCTGGAACACAACTCCAAGGGGAGTACTCCTCTGGCTACCAGGAGTTCCTGCCAGTTTGGAGCTGGGAAGAGACCAGAGGGGAGACAGGAGGGACATGAAGAAGAGAGGCTGATGGAGTAGACTCTCCATGGCCATCATTATCACGGAGGAGTGCCTGCTTCGGAGTTCTGGCAACAGGTATGAGGTGGCACCATGAGGAACAAGCCTGGATACAAGATCCACGGCTTTGCTCAGGAGCCTAGAGACTCAGCATTCAGGAAAGGCACTTAGAGGAGGGACTTGGGGACAAGGCCCATGCAGCCAGGCCCTCCACAGCCACACTTGGCATTTCTCACCAGGCCCCCAGTGAGTGCTACTGAAGCATATGCATTACCTCTATCTGGCTTTTACTCTCTATTTGTTTCCTCTGAACATGTCTTGCCTTCTGTGAGAAGAAGAATAAGGGGCGAAGAAGAGGCAAATGAGACTGGAGGGCTCTTAGTCTTCTGGGTTTCCTCTAACTGTATGCAATGTATAGTTGAGGTTTAAAGGAAACATTCACTGAAATAATGACTCAATCCAAGAACAAATGAATCACCCTCTAAAGCAGAGGGATCCATGGACGGACTGCAGCTGAAAATCATATGCAAATATATATGCAAATGTTATAGGCAAATTATATGCAAAATGTCATGTGTATGGATATGTACTCTTTTCCAGGGAGAGCATCCACAGCTTTCACCAAATGCTCAAAAGGGTGCCTGGCCCTGCCCTAGGGGGACACACCAATGTCCCAAACTGACTCTGGCTCCATCTCCTCAAATCCTCTCTTCCTTTAGCAGACACCCAGGGGTGGCTACCATATTGGACAGCATCAATACCTTTTTGAACATATGTATATTTTTCAGACTACTCAGTACCCTTCTCCACCGAATAACAATCTCAAAAATAAGTAATTTCTACTGACGTTTACCGCGAACTTATCATGGGCCAGGCAGTGTTGTAAGGCCTTCACATGTATTTTAGTCCTTACAGCAGTTTAGGATTAGATGCGAATTGCCTTTTATTTGGCTTAAAATGAACTCTTTTCAAATTTTGGAGTCAGCGCCTTATTATAACACATTATGCTTTAGCAAACAATTTTATGGTCACTCTTTAGAAATTTACACATGTCCACCACGCACTCTCCCGTCCCTTCCCCACATCCATCTAGAGCAAAAGATTCTGTTGATTCCGTTTTTCCTAATTGGCAACATCTCCAAAGCTTCTGAAGGGGACTATCTTAGATCCACTCATTCAGTAATTCATTCATTCACAAACAATTTCCTGAGTTCCTGTTAGGCACCGGACAAGACAGACAAGGCCCCTACCTTCAACTGTGAAGTGTACGTTCAGGTGGAATCAAATAAATGCAAGCTGGGGAGACAGGGAGGAGGGTCCCATTACTTGTCTGTTACTGATTGGCTCTGGAGTCCTGCCCGTGACCTCAGGGGATTCTACAGACAGCCCCTGCCCCAGGGCCCTGAAACAGTCTCCCATCAACATGTGAAAAGTCCCGGCGAGTGCATAGAAGAGATGAGAGATGATGGGGTAGAAAGCTGGTCCAGATTAGGTCTTAGGGCTCAGGGGAGGGAACGCTGACCCCGGAGCAAGGGAAGCTGGCTTCCAGCAGCTGCTCAGATTTGTTTGAGATGGGCACGTCTCTCTAAAACGCTGAGCCTCAGGCCCTTTGCCTGTGAAATGAGAGTTACCCTGCCTATTTCACCAAGCTGAGGTGAAGATCAGTTGAAATAAGGGACTTGAAAAAGCCCTAGACAAACCTATGTTACTATAATTACCAATCATACCTCCCACACCAGCCTGCACTACTCTTCCAAAAGACTCCCCCTTCTGGAATTATCGTGAAGACACCGGGCAAGGAACTGGTGCTTTTTAATCCAATTTTCTAATCTCGAGGACTTGAGAAAAATATTTCATCAGCATTCTTTATTTGCCTAATTTCCAACCTAAAACTTCCCAAGATGACCATGGAAAAAGTGGCAGGTCCTCGTGGAAAGTCGAGGGAGGAAGAAATGGGTAAAATGAAGAGAAAAAATAGACTTAGAGCTGTTTCTCCTTTCTCTTCAGAATCGCCGGTATGATTGATCTCGCCCAAGTCTCAGTCCCACGAGGCTCTCTGAAGGACATGGGGGGTCCCCTGGCCACCTCCCGAGGGGGTGGTCTCCCGGGAAGGATACCTTCCCCGGCCACTCGCGCCGCTCCCTGGGTCCCTGGGATCAACGCTCAGAACTCACACCGCCGCCATGTTGTCGTCTCCATAGATACAGGACGCGCAGGGCCGGCGTCCCCTGGTATCCCAGGGCAACGACGGCAACCCGAAGGAGTCACGATTCATAGAAGGCGAAAGCGCCGCCCAACTTTAATCTTTACCCTCAATTTTTATTTCCCGCCTTTACCTGCTAGTAGTAACTGGACTTCGGTCAGTCGCAGCATCGTATGTATAGTCTCCCAGTCCCCTAGCATGGTACATATAGTCTCTTGTCGTGACGTCCCCTCAATCGTGACTTTAGTTGACGACCTGGACTGGGCACCTGAGTGAGTCGATCCTGTTCCTTCCCGACATGCTTTGGTGACACAGGATCAGAATCTCAACCGGAGCTTCATTCTGTGATTGCAGTTGTTAACGTAAAAGCAGCCCGTACTTATTTCTTATCTGCATATTGCTTTGCAAATAGATTCCTTTTGCTGATGGGAGAGAATGCGTCCTTGGAGTTTTTTCCAGCATTTCCTCCTGCCCAACACAAAGCTAACTCTTTAGGGACCTGAGGCAAACGTGTGAAGAAGGCATTGCTGTACATAATGTGGATTTGGGGGAGCCCGTTTGTCCGTGTGTGGGTGTGTTGGGGGAAGGGTCTCATTTGATGAAGGCTCCTTCCATGGGTGAAACTGGAAGTCTCAAAGTTCGTTCATGGACAATGAAAGACGTTTCCCTCTCTGGGACAGCGATGGAGGGTGTTAGGGGGCGAGACCTTTGTGAGTCTAGGGGCAAACCCAGAAAATAAATTCTCATTTTGGGAAAGTTGAGTTTACTTGTGAAAGGTGAAAGATGGCCTTTGGTGACAAAGTGTCCTGAGAGACCACGTGGCCAGAGGCTGGCTGAACTGGAGGGAAGGGGAAACTAAGGGGTCCGTTAATTTCTGCCAGCACGATTAGGTCTGGAGTTTTCTTGGGACTGAAGAATGTGGGACTCAGTGAGCTTTTTCACTGGTTTTAACATCATTCTCAGCATCTGAAACCTGTACTTTGGACATGATGACTTTTATGCCTTTTGTCATTCCTGTAATGATTTTCTGTTTGTTTTCCCCTAAGCTCTTTTTGAAAGGATCAGCCCAAGTCAACTGGGGCTAAGGGACCTATTTATCCATTCTTAGGCCAAAAAGAAATAGGGAGGAGTGACTCTGGGGGCAAGACTTGGTAGTGGCCTCAGGAATCCTGGCAAGAAAACCCCAAGGAGAAGGAAGAGCTCATGCAAGGAGCCACAGATCCCAGTGCCTCTTCCCTGAGAGAATGCCTCTCCAGGGACCGGGCATGCCCAACTCTTGGTGGATTCTGGGCTCGGGAAGATGAAAAGAGGTTCTCAGTAGGGGTCCTGTGGATTCTGCTTCTGTGAAGTTCTGGCCGCCTCCCTGAGTTCTGCTGGTGTGAGTGACCTTAACTCACGTGGACTCCCAGGGAGAGGCCTGAGCTGGACTTTGCCCCAGGAGACAAACAGCACAGAAAGGGGCGTGGCAAGGGGTTGAGCCTGAGGAAGGGAGAGGAAGCCAGGCTTGCTTCGGAAGTCCCCCTTTTCAGGAGCCCAGAACCTGTGGGAGATAATGGGTGCTGGGTCCTCGTGACAACATGTTCTGTGGATCCAAGACAGACAATGGAGGTGGGTGCTGTTTGGTTCAAGGCTGTGAACAAGAGTGAGTGGTGATTCAGGAAATTGATGAAGACCAGCACATGAGAGGAGGGAGGAAGGACGATGGGTAGAAGACAGATTCTAATCCTCCTGGTTGGAAGCTGAAGATGGGGGTAATAAAGCATAGCCAGTGACTTGGGCTTCAGCACACACAAATATCTTTTCTAAGCTTTTTTCCCACACCTCCCTGCCTCCCCCTGCAATAGAGAAGATTGTGGGCCAGGAAATCAGGCAGACCTGAGATTAATCCTGACTCTCCTACTTATTGGCTATGTGACCTTGGGCAAGTCACATGACCTCTCGGAGCCTCAGTTTCCTCATCTGTTACCTGGGGATAATTATCAAAAGGCTGGTGTAGGGAATGAGTGATCAGGCATGTGTAAAGAACTTAACACATGGTAGACGATCAGCAAAGTTGAACACACACACACACACACACACACACACACACACACACAGAGGAAGGTCACTCACTAAATGAGAGGTTCCTATAAATAAGTCACTAGGCCCTCTGTGTCCCCTCCTCTCCTGCACACTGGAGAGGCAGGAAGTTCTCCTCTCCACATCCTCCTCTTGTTTCTCCAAGGAGGCTGCCTTGCTGCTCCAAGGTGGAGAAAGACAAAAGGAGATGCCAGGGTGATCTGCTGTCCAGATGGCAAGTCAACCCAGCTCCAGCACTTGAAAGGCCCTCTCCTACCTTCTTTCCCCTGAAACTCTGACTCCATTTTGAGTGTTGGTCCTGAAATCAGGTCTGCATCCAAGATGTACTTAATCTGGAAGAGGGAGATGAGGAGGTGCTCCTGACCTCTGAAGTTAGGGGAGTAACTCCTCTAAGCTAAGCCTGAGGGGTGGAGAGTGATAGGAGGCTTCAGCCAAGAGGGCCACTCGGGTGGTTCAGGGCTTGATGTGGGGGCAGGCATGGAGCATTCTCTGCATTAGAGTGCCATGTTCCCCTGTAGCAGCTGGCAGGTGGAGGAGAGTGTGTTAAGAGATTGATGGCACCTCCAGCCTGAAAGCAGCCAGGGCACAGTTGGCAGGGGTTTGGGGTAGATGGCCATATGTCAAGAGAATTCAAAGGAAAGTGTTCCATTCTGCCTGGGACCTCCATAAGGTTTTCTCATTCTCCTGTGCCAACCCAGATCCCCCTAGATCACTTTCTTCCTCTGTTCATCATCCTCACCAAAGGCTAGATAGACACACAGGCCAACAGTAGGGAGATGGAGAGAAAAGGACAAGAAGTTTGATCCCATAAGACTAGAGTTCAAGTCCTGATTCTAGCATTTGATGGCTGAGCAGTTTCAGGCAAGTTGTTAAACGTTCCAGAACCTCACTTTCCTTACCTGTAAAATGGGAACAAATGTGTAGTATTCAAAGCGCTTAACAGTTGGTAAGGTGTGGAGCATGGCCTCTGGAAATGGACTTCAACTGGGCTTAGAGCCAGAGTGGGCTTCTGAGAGCCCACATTGTGCCAGGCCTTCACCCTTTAGTTGTTGGGTCATGGGGAAGCCTACGGGGTGCAGGGAGGAGACTGAGAGAGCAGCCACAGCAGTGGAGGACTCAGTCAGTGACTATTTATGAACTGGCACTAAAGTAGCTGTAGATTTCAACAGTCAGTAAAGCTACACTGAATAGTGTTGTAAGTCAGACCCGAGGACAAATCCGTGTCTCGTCTACTGTGTACAGTTATTTATTTCCAGCCAAAACGTGAAGTCTCTCCCCCTCTAATTCCTCCTCATTGGTGGACGATCAGTCATCACGTGTACCTGCTCTTTCCTTTACTCTGTGTGTGCTCCTTCTGTGTTAGCTCTCCCCGCTGTCTTCCCTGCACCATCTCCTGCAGGCTCGCCAGCTCCGCGCGTCCCTGGCCAGCACCATGGACAGCTCCGGCTGACCAGCCCATCCTAGGCCATCCCATTCTTCCTGCCTTCTATCTCCTCTTCTCCCACCCACCCCAGCACAGAAACTCTGAGGTATGAACTGAATGAGGGACATCGCTGAGAAGACAGTGGAGTGGAGTGGTTGAGAACCAGTTCTGGAATAAGACAGACTGGATTTGAATCCCAACCCCGCCAGCTCCCAGCTCTATGATATTGTTCCTTGTCTCCTATAAAACCCGTCTCCTCATCTGTAGACAGAGAACACCTTAACAGCTACACCAAAGGTTGTAAGGTTTAAGTGAGATAAAAGATTTAAAGAACTTAGCACAGTGCCTGGCTTATTATATGATCTGAATAAATGAAGAACACCACTGTTCTGTGACTTTCTATCCTATCTAATTCCTCAAGCCCTTTTCTAATCCATTTCTGACTTTTTTCAATCTATTTTCCTGTCTCAAGTGAAGGTGTCATAGCGTGATCACTGGCTCAGTGCATCTGGCCTGTCTTGGGTTTGGAAATTGGCTTGGACTTCATGTATGATAAGGGAGCCCACCCCTGACTGGCCCATGAGATTCTGTCTTTTAGATTTTTTTTTTTACATTTTAAAAATTTTGAGTTAATTTTAGATGTACAGAGAGTCATAAAAATAGTACAGGGAGTTCTCATAAACACTTTACCCAGCTTCCCCTTAAGTTAACATCTTACATAACCATAGACCATTTATCAAAACTAAGAAATTAACCTTGGTACAATAGCACTAATAGAAAAGTGCAGAATTTATGTATATTTCACAAGATTGTCCACTAATGTCCTTTTTTGGTTTAAGTATCCAATCCAGGATCCCAACTGGGGTGTTTCCTGAATCTTTCTTTGCCTTTCATGACCTTGACTCTTTTGAAGAGTCCTGTCAATTATTTTGTAGAATGTTCCTCAATCTGGGTTTGTTTCTTATGATTAGAGTAAAGTGTGCATCTTTAGGAAGCATAACACAGGGGTAACATGCCCTTCTTAGTGCATCATATCAGAGGGTACACGGTGTCACTGTGTATTATTGGTGATGTTAACTTTGATCACTTGGCTAAAGTGGTGTCTGCCAGGATTCTCCACTGTAAGTTTCTATTTTTTCCTCTTTATTAGATTTTGATCATACCCATCTTTTGCTTTTCTAGGATTAAGAGTTCAAAACCAATAAACCTGTCCTCACAGTAACCTTTCCACCCCTACACTCCCAACCACTCCCCCAAGCCACACCCATTCCCTATTATCTGCCTGGCCACTTTCCTCTGAGCTTTCTTGAGTTGGGCATTCAGAGGTGTGCGCAGAAGTCAAATGCGGACATATCTGAAGTTTGTGAGGGCAAAAGGGTACTTCTGGCTCATTTTCATGGACCTTCTTGTTGAGGTCGTACAAGTTCTGCTTGCGGGGGCGCTCTGAGAAAAACTGGCCAGCACTGTCCACAGGAATGTCCAGCCCCTTTC